GCAAGCCAGCCTGGAGCCTCGGGCGGCCGGGTGAGTCAGGGGCCGGCTCTCCTCTCCCCCGCCCCCAGGTCCCGGCAGGCAGGCCGCGGCTGGAGCCTGCTCGGACTATATAAGGCGTGTAAGCTGACACTGTGCGGAGAGCCAGCGCAGGGAGCACACGGGGGCTTGGGACACGAGGGGGAGGGGAGGGAGGCGGTTGCAGCGGATCCTCCCAGCCATTCCGGGACTAGTCGAGGCTGCTGGGAGCCAGGGCGGGACCCCTGGGTGCTGAAGAAGGGGAAGGCGGGAGTGGGGTGCGGCCCCTGTGGAGACAGGGGCATAGCTTGGGACCCTAAAGCATAGCTTGGAGGGGGATCCTTCCCGGAGCCCAATGGGGATGGTGCCTCCCACACAGAACTGTTCCCACACCGACGTGACTCAGTTTCCCCCAGTCCCCCGCCCGGGCCCCATGCATTAGACTGGCCCCGGCCGCAGGAAGCAGCGCAGGCGCCAATCGGCCCCGCCGCAGCCGGCTTCGCGGCAGGAAGGCGGGGGCGGGGGCGGAGGCAGGGGCAAGGGCCCGCGGGAGGAAGCACAGCCTGGACCGCGACCCCCAGTGCCCTTTGTGGTCCTCAGCAGGCCCCAGGCGCCCGCCTGGTCTAGCCCAAGACGCCCCGCGCGGTCGTCGATACCTGCTCGGCCCCGCCAGTGCGCTGCTCGGCGTCCGGCTCCAGGGAGCCGCGTTGGGATCGGCCGCCAGTGTTCTGACCCCGCCCCCGCAGTCACCCTCCACTTTGAGCTCGCGGAAGGGGGCGGGGCACCAGGCCACGCCCTCGTCGTGACCACGCCCACTAGACGATCTCCGTTGGTGGAAAGCCCCACCCAACTCTTCCGTCCCGCCCAATCACCACGTCCCGTCGGGCGCCAGCTGAGGGGCCTCCCCGACCTGGGCCCTGCAGTGGGGCGGAGTCGGGGCGGGGCCGGGGCTGCGGGTCGCCTCATTAGGAAGGAGCTGCCTCGCCCAGTCCCTCGCACCGCCCGCTGGCGGAGGGAGGGGAAAGCGGACCTGCAAACCAGACCGACCTGGGCCCTAGTCGTTTCTGAACCTTAGTTTGCTACTCCGAAAAATGAGACGATCATATTCGCCTCGCAGGGCTGCTGCGAGGGTCGGTATCGTAGGTGCAACCATCGGGGGCTGCAGGATTTCTAAATCAGAGGGCCTGGGAGGAGATAAGGTGGGGAAGTTGAGGGGGACAGGGGCGTTTAAAGCTAGATTTGCGCAACGCTCTACCGAAGGCAGGAACACAGGGCAGGAGCGGACGCCGGGGGTCCCTGGCCTGCGGGCCTTGCCCTCGCTCGCATCCCTGCAACCCCGACCCGACCCGCACACCGTCGGAAGCGCCGCGTCCCGCTCCACCTTGGCCAGAGCGGACTGCGCCCCGTGGGAGGCGTCCTCAGAGTCCCGGCCCCGCGTTCAGCCCGGGCACTAGGGCCCGCGGCGCGGACACTGAGAGCATGCGGGTGTCGGGGTGAGGGAAGGGGCGTCCACCCTCCACTCGCTTGGTGGTCGCGGCCGGTCAGCTCCTCCTGGGACATGGTTGCTGCAGTTCTCCCCTCTCCATCCACAGTCATCACACCCACCCTATTCTGCGTAAAACGCTGTGAGAGTTCTCATCGTTAAAGACCTTCTCTTGACCCCACATCCCTCTCCAACTCTAGCCTTTAATTCTGCTCTTGAGAGGAAAATTCCTCCAGGGAGTTGTCTGTTTATCGCGTCTCCACTTGCTTTCCTTCAGTTATCTCTTGAAGCCATGCCAGGCAGGCTCTTGTCCGCACCGGTCCCCTGAGATCTTTCTTCTCAAGGTCACCTGTGACCTGGACGGCCATCGGGCCATGGAATCCGTGGTGGTTCAGTTTCATCCTGCCCTTCCTAGGGGCAGCATGGGTCTGGGTGGATTCTCGTCCCCCGAAACACCCTTTTCCCTGACTTCACAGCTTCTCCCTGCCCCACCGGCCCCTCCTCCCCATCCTCCTCTGCCTCTGGCTTTGGCCGTCTGATGCCATCTCTAGTCTCACCCCCTAAGACCCCGTACCGTCCTGTGGCTTTCAATACCACCTGTATGCCAAGGCATCTCATGTTTCATGGCCAGCCTGACCTCTCCCCAGGAACTCCAGACTCCATTATCCAAAACGCTGCCTAGATGTTTACTAGATCGGGGTCCCCAACCCCGTTTGTGGCCTGTTAGGAACTGGGCTGCACAGCAGGTGAGCAGCGGCAAGCCAGAGAAGCTGAGTGTAGCAGCAGCATTAGATTCCGATAGGAGCGTGAACGCTATTGTGAACTGTGCAGGCGAGGGATCGAGGTTGCTCGTTCCTTATAAGAATCTAATAATAAATGGGCCGAGTGCGGTGGTTCACGCCTGTACCTGTAATCCCAGCACTTTGGGAGGCTGAGGTGGGGGAGGATCACTTGAGGTCAGGAGTTCGAGACCATCCTGGCCAAGATGGTGCAACCCCGTCTCTACTAAAAATACAAAAATTAGCTGGGCGTGGTGACACATGCATATAATCCCAGCTACTCAGGAGGCTGAGGCAGGAGAATCACTTGAACCGGGGAGGCAGAGGTTGTAGTGAGCCAAGATGGCACCACTGCACTCCAGCATGGGTGACAGAGCGAGACTCCATCTCAAAAAAAAAAAAAAGAATCTAATGATAAATGTACTGCACTTGAACCATCCTGAAGCCATCCCCAACCCACCCTCAGTCCGTGGAAAAATTGTCTTCCATGAAAGCAGTCCCTTCTGCCAAAAAGGTTGGGGAACCACTGTGCTAGGTATCTCAGACCATCATGGCCCACCTTTCCCACCTTGTGCCTTTCCCACCTCCCTAACTCATTCCTGACTTCAAGAAGTGCCACCAACATTTATCCAACTGGTTCAGCAGAAACGGTGAAGTTATCCTTCCTTTCTCTTCTGTCCTCCCCTAGATTCTGCAAATTCCACCTTCAGCATGTTCACATCTAACCGCTGCTTCCACCATTGTCCCAGCCACTGCCATCTTGTGCCTGTGCCCCTGTAACAGTCTCCTAACGGGTATCCCTGCTTTCACCCTTGCCCCTTCCAGAGTCTTCACGAAGCAGCCAAAGTGATATTTTTAAAGCCAGAATCACACCACCATGTCACTCTCAGCTTTTAACATTCCAGTGAGATCATATTGCACTCAAAATAAAACTAAAGTCCTTAAGACCTACAGAACACGAATAAACTGCGTCTGACTCCTACCACTCGCTCCCTCCACTCCAGCCACCCTGGCCTCCTCACTCACATTTCCCCCAGCAGGCCAAGCATATTCCTGCCTCAGGGCCTGTCCACTGGCCAGTTCCCCTGCTTGAAACACTTCTTTTTTTTTTTTTTCTTTTTTTGAGACGGAGTCTCACTCTGTCATCCAGGCTGGAGTGCAGTGGTGTGATCTTGGCTCGTTGCAACCTCCACCTCCCGGGTTCAAGTGATTCTTCTGCCTCTGCCTCCCGAGTAGCTGGGATTATAGGCATGAACCACCATTCCGGGATAATTTTTATATGTTTAGTAGAGATGGGGTTTCTCCATGTTGGTCAGGCTGCTCTCAAACTCCTGACCTCCAGTGAGCCATCTGCCTTGGCCTCCCAAAGTGCTGGGATTACAGGCGTGAGCCATGGTGCCTGGCCCTTGAAACACTTCTCCAGGTATCTCAGCAACAGGCTTCCAACATTTTTTAGGTCTCTGCTCAGATGTTGCCTCCTCCCAGGGCCTTCCCTGATCACATCTGAAACAGCAATCCCCTGATGCCTCACCCGCATTGCACACTAGGCCCTCCCTCTGCTTTATTTTTCCGCATAGCATCTCCTTCATCTGACATTCCGTATGAAGTGTTTGTTTACTTAGGAATCCCATAGCACCCGAGACATCTGGATGTGGAAAAGGCATCTCCAGAGTTCATGTGTGGAGGGAGATGGGGGAATGGGGACTCTCTGTGGTGCTCTTTCCAGGGTGTGTTCTTTGTTAGGACAATGAAGACACACAGCTTATGTGTCTTGTCTAACATTTCCCCAGGGCCTACACACAGTGGATGTGAATGAACACACGAAGAAAGGAAGGATTGACAAAGTGAAACAGCAAATAAGCAAAGGAAGAGGTGGCAGCCTGGGGGTCCTGGCAGTCCTCCAGCAGAGAGGACTCCTGGCTCCCATTCCTTGGGCTGGTGGAAAGCACAGGTCTGTGTCCCCGACTGCCCGGGAGCCTCCCAGCACAGGCAGCCCCTGGGTCGCAACTGGACAGGGACACAGCGCCCTCTGGTGGCCAAGACTCCTGAGGCTCCAGGCCCAGGCCTCTAGCGTCCTGGTGGTTTCCAAGGACTTTTCCACAGTCCCCTTGGAATATCACAGAAATCCCTATGAAACAAAGAAGCTCAGATTTGTAATGAAGGAAAGGATGCCATGCTGGGCACCCAGAGTCGGTTCTAGCCATGCCCCTGACTCTCTGGGTGACCTTCAGTGTGCCCTGGGATTTGGTGAGCGGCCAAGGACTGGGCTTGGGTTTGCCACTGTAGGGAGTGGGGGTGCCTGCAGCAGCACCTTGACTGCTCGCCTCTTGGCCTCAGCTTGCTAAGGCCTTACCCATCAAGAAGTGCTTGCATGAATGAGTAAGCTGAAATCTTCCTCCCCATGGCTCTAGCATCCCTCCAGGCTTTTCGTTGTGTCCACACACATGCTGGGAGAACACCAGTCTCCATTCCCCCAACCCCCTTTCACCCATGGGATCTGGAGATGCCTTTTCCACATCCACGTGTCTCGTGTGCAGTGGGATTACTAAATCTGGAGCTCAGGGGGAGGTCTCCACTGAAGACTGACACCTGGAGAATGACTGGCTTGCTGAGGCCAGTGGTTCCCAGCCTAGACTGCATATTACAATCATCCGGAAACCCAATGAGCATTGAGGCCCAGACCCCACCTACCCAGACCGATGAACTCAGAGCCCCTGCATGTAAAATGGATTTTTAAAATTGTTTATTCTCTTGGTAGGTCACTCACAGAACATGCATGGACAGTTTTACAGGCTTTCAGGAGATTCTTTGTGTAGCAGGGTTGAGCTACACTGTATCTGAGCCTAGGACCCTGGGAAGAACTCAGAGAAGGCAGCAGTAGAGGCTGGGAAAGACAGAGTCATGAGGTAGGAGGAAAAGCAAGTAATGGGGGGTGTTTCAAGAACCAGAGCTGAGTGCTGCTGAGAAGTCAAAGTCCTTGTTGCTTTTGTTTTGGAGAATAACGTTGGTGACTCTAATAAGGGCCACATAATGGCATCATGGGGATGAAGGAGTTAATTGAGGGGAAAATAGGGGTAAGAAAGTGGAAATGAAAGTAATCAACAACTCTTTTGAAGAGTTTTTGCTGTGAAGAGGAACAGAGAAACAGGGAGGTGGCCAAAGGGGAATGTGAGGGCAAGGGAAGGTTTAAAAGGTGACATTACAGAGCATGCTTGGGTGTGGCTGGAAAAGCTGCTGATAGGATGAATGGGCCCAGGAGAGAGCTGAAGTTTCCAAGCTCTGAGGTGAGAGGAGCCGGGATCAGAGCATAGCTGGGGACAAACAATGTTGCTACTGTAGGGGTAGGAAGAAGACGGATGGATGCCAGTACACTTGCAGATGCAGTGGGAGAGCCTGGCCCATTTCCCCAACATGCCTGTGAGGAGACACTGGGTGGGGACAGACAGGAGGTTCTGGGGAGGAGAAAAGATGCCCCTCTAGGCAACAGGGTCTCTGGTGGCAGGGAGGGCCCACCTTGCACCGTTAAGGATGCAGTCAGCCTGTTTAAATGGATTTCTTTGGCTATGGGCAGCTGTGTGCAGGCACAGAGGCGGTCTGGGCTCATCCAAGGCCGGGGGCTTTGCCAGACCAATAAGATGAAAGGAGAGAGAAGGGGGGAAGGGACTATGGAGAACAGAGGGGATGGTGGGCAGAGGCCTGGAAGAGCCAGAAAAGGGTCCCTGAAGGTCGATGTGGCTAGGCAGGGGTGGTATTGGCCATGCGAGAGGAAGTGAGCTGGAAGGAGGAGGTGGCCAGAGGATGAGGCTTGGACAGGAGAGAGCAAAAATTATGTGTCCGTCCTGAAAATGAGGTTCAGGATGTGCCAAGGGTGTGGGCGGCTGAGGTGGAGTTGCGGTGAGGGGCCAAGCAGCCAGACCCCTGGAGGCATGATGCTCGTGCGCATGGCTGGCTCCTAGGATGGCAACAGCAGCAGGAGCAGAGGAGGGAACGCAGCATGGAAGTCTTCAGGAAACTTCTCTCCCCCGAACAGGACCAAGGCTGTCCTGAACACGGCCATGTCCCCCAGTGCCTGGCACTGAGTAGGCACACAGCAAAACTCTCATCTAGGATGATGCCTGATACATCATTTGTTCTCTCTCCTTTACAGATGAGGAGACTGAGGCCAGGGGTTCCCAGAAGTATCTATCTGCAAATTGTTGGAGTTTCAGCAGGGAACAAGTGTGTGGGGCGAGAGCGTCTCTGAAATCCCTTCCACCTGCTCCCCGCCCCCATTGCCTCCTCCCAGCTCGGGCCTCCGGGTCTCCAGTTGGGCCCTCATGTTGCTCCTTCCCCAGTCTGACAAATAAGCCTCACGGTTCCCTCCGCCTGCCTCTTCGTGTCACTCTGGCCATGGAGGGCCACACGGAGTCCTAATGATCTCCATCCTGTCTGCTACCGCAGTGGATTTGAGCCCATGGGTGGCAGGTCAGGCCCAGGTCACCTGTGCCCCTGGAACCGGCACAGGGCGCTGGTGCTGGCCGCAATGAACGTTGGCAGGGGCGTGTGCCCGTGAGTGCCCCTGTCGGGTGCTGCTCTTATTATCTGCGAGTCTGCACACCGTGTATGTGGAGGGCAGGGCAGGGCGGAGGTCCTCCACAGGCGGCCTCATTCCTGCAGGCCAGGGTAGACACAGGCGTGTGTCCGCATGGGCCCACTATGTGCCCACCAGCCCACCCTCCTGTCCCAGGGGGAGCACCTCTCCCCTCTGGCCACCACTCTGCTGGGTGTTCAGGGCCGGTCACAAGGGGCAGGGCCCTTCCTCCGCTCACGACTCAGCAGGTTCACCAGCTTGGCCTTGAAGCCTGCCTGAGGGTCAGGGCGGCCTGTGCCCTCTGCCTCATCCAGCTCCAGCAGCCGCCGGTACTGGGCTTCCAGACTGCTGTCGTGGGCCGGGCTGGGCCAGCTCAAGTCTTCGCCGTTGTGGTAGATGGGACTGGCTGTGGGGCTGCGGCCGCCAGGGCCCTCGTGCCGCTCAGGTTCCCCGCTGTGCGGTGTGGGGCTGGCCTCCAGCACACACAGGTTCTCATAGAGGTGCTCAGTGCGTGGGAGTCCACTGGCGCGCTTGCACACTGAGGCGTAGAGCCCGGATGCCGGATCACTGGGCTCCAGGCCTAGCAGTAGCGGCAGGCTCTGGGGTCCGGGCTCAGCCAGGCGCACCCTCCTGGAGGTGGGTGGCTCAGGTCCTGGTGGCATCTCCCGCAGCTCTCCGGGGGCGTCCAGGGAGGGCAGAGAGGTGGCCCGGGGCAGGGGGCAGGGCTGGGGCTTGGCCAGCTCTGGCAGTCGCTCCCGCTGGCGGGTGATGGCCCCGGCCACAGCCCTGCACAGGTCGGGGGCACAGGGGGTGTGGAAGGCAAAGAGGCCCTCCCCCGAGTCGCAGCGGCGGCCGGCTTCAAAGGAGAACACGCCCTGGGCACAGGCGACATGGGTGGGGATTAGCAGGAGGGTCCAGGTTGTCGGCTCCCCACCCTTCCCACCCCTGCACCTCACCTTGTCAGAGCCGAACTTGCGCAGGAAGTGGTAGGGCCAGCTGTAGAGGACCTGGGTGACCTTGGCCTCCCTCAGCTGGATGGCATCTGGGCCCAGCACCAGCAGGGCCGGCCCCTTCAGCTGGCAGCGGGTGGCGGCCTCGGTCCTCTGCACCACCACGGGAAACTCGCCCACTGTGGCAGGTGGCCAGGACATCCCGGTCAGTCCCCCAAAGACCCAGCCCTGGGTGTGGGGGGTCGAGGCTGCCCTTGCACCTCCTCCGACTTACCTTCCTGCCAGGAGGAGTAGATGGAGTTCTCCTCCATGGGGACCAGACCCCTCTTGGGAGACTGGGCATCTGTGGATCCTGAGGAGGCCTCCCCTGTCCCCTGGGGAATGAGTTCAAGTCAAAGGTGGGAGCACCGCACTCCCATGCCCCGTCCCCTCCCTTGGGGTCAGTATCCCAGGACTCCACCACAAGCCAGGGTCCCCTTCTGAGCCTGTTCTCCCACCTGGCTCCCCACTGAGAGTGCTGGGCTGGGAGAGAGGTGCTGTGCTTGAGGGTGTCAGAGCTGCAGATCACTGGGGACACAAGGGGATGTCCCCTGCAGCCCCTGGGCTTGGCTGGGCCGGCTTCTGCATGTCTCTGACAGCCTCGAGCAGTATAGGGACAGAAGCGTTCCGGCTGGGACACACGTGTGAGCTGGGCGGGGAGCAGTACCCCAGCTGTCTTCTTCCATCTCACTGCAACCACCTGCTACGACCCTGCAAGGTGCCCCCAATCTCTGCCTACGCCTCATCTCCACACCAGGCCTTCAGCTGTTCTCTAGCTCTTTCCCACTTAGCCCGTCTACTAGGACCACCCTGGCTCATAGCAACACGGCCGGGTCAAATGCCACAGCTTCCTCACTGGGCTCCTTGCTCCTGTCAACTGCCTTTTTTTTTGAGATGGAGTCTTGCTCTGTCACCCATACTTGAGTGCAATGGCGAGATCTCAGCTCACTGCAACCTCCACCTCCCGGGTTTAAGTGATTCTCCTGCCTCAGTCTCCCAAGTGGCTGGGATTACAGGTGCCCACCACCATGCCTGGCTAATTTTTTGTATTTTTAGTAGAGACAGGGTTTTGCCATATTGGGCAGGCTGATCTCGAACTCCTGACCTCAGGTGATCCACGTGCTTCGGCTTTCCAAAGTGCTGAAATTACAGGTGTGAGCCACCATGCCTAACCTCAACTGCCTTTGGTTTTTTTATTTTTAAAATATGATAAAATACAGAGAACATAAAATTTGCTGTTTTAACCATCTTACATTTTTTTTTGTTTTTTTGAGACACAGTCTTGCTCTGTCAGCCAGGCTGGAGTGCAGTGGCACGATCTCAGCTCACTGCAACCTCTGCCTCCCAGACTCAAGCAATTCTCCTGCCTCAGCCTCCGAAGTAATAGCTGGGATTACAGGCATGTGCCACCACGCCCGGCTAATTTTTTAAAATTTTTTTTAGTAGAGGTGGGGTTTCACCATGTTGGCCTGGCTGGTCTCGAACTCCTGACCTCAGGTAATCCACCTGCCTCAGCCTCCCAAAATGCTGGGATTACAGGTGTGAACCACCACGCCCGGTCCATTTTACATCTTAAAGTGTATCACCAGTGCTTTTTTTTTTTTTTGAGATGGACTTGCGCTCTTGTTGCCCAGGCTGGAGTGCAATGGTGCAATGGCGCCATCTTGGCTCACCGCAACCTCCGCCTCCCAGGTTCAAGTGATTCTCCTGCCTCAGCCTCCCGAGTAGCTGGGATTACAGGCATGTACTACCACACCCAGCTAATTTTGTATTTTCAGTAGAGACGGGGTTTCTCCGTGTTGAGGCTGGTCTTGAACTCCTGACCTCAGGTGATCCGCCCACCTCAGCCTCCTGAAGTGCTGGGATTATAGGCATGAGCCACCACGCCCGGCCACCAGTGCTTTTTAGTATATTCACAAGAATATACACAGGTTGTGCAGCTGTTGCCACTGTCTAGTTCCAGAACTTTTCCATCATCCTACATGGAAACCCTGTACCCGTGAGCAGCCACTCCCCACTTCTCCCTTCCCCCAGCTCCTAGCAAGACTCATCTGATTTCTATCCCAACGGAGTTACCTAGTCTGTGCATTTCTTTCTTTCTTTTTTCCTTTTCTTTTTTTTTTTTAGAGACAGGGTCTTACTATGTTGCCCAGGTTGATCTTGAATTCCTAGGCTCAAGCAATCCTCCTACCAAAGTGCGGGGATTATAGGCATGAGCCACTGCGCCTGGCCCGTTTGTTCATTTTTATGGCTGAGTAGTATTCCATCTTGTGGACAGACCACGTTTTGTTTATCCATTTGTCAGCTGATGGCCATGTAGGCTGTTTCCACCTTCTGGTGGCCATGAGTAGTGCTGCTATGGGGTTTTTTTTGAGATAGGGTCTTGCTCTGTCTCCTGGGCTGGAGTGAAGTGGCACGATTACGGCTCACTGCAGCCTCGACCTCTGGGGCTCACACGATCCTGCTGCCTCACATGTACATGTTTTGTTTGAACACCTGTTCTAGTTCTCTTGGGCACACACCTAGGAGTGGACCTGTGGGCCACATGGTAACTCTGTTTACCTCTTTGAAGAACCCCCAGGCTGACTTCCTTTTGACCCATCACAGATCTTGTGGGGCTTTACAAACGTGTCTGGCTACAACCCTCCAAAGCCTTCGCCTCACACTCAGAACAGAACCACACACATGGCCTGGGGCATTTCAGCCGCTCCCCTAAGCTCCGTGACTTGGCTTCCTCCTGCACTCCTATCCTTCCAGCCATGTTGCCTTCTTTCTGCCCTTAAACACCCCACACTGTCTGACCTCGGGGCCTCTGCCCACGGGACTCCCTCTGTTCACAACTCCCCAGGCTGCCCCTGTCCTCAGACCTTTGCCCAGTGGGCTCCTGTCATTCAGGGCCCTCCTCTGAGAGGCCTTCCCTGACCACCCTGCCTGTCGTACCCTCACTTCCTACTGCTCCCCTGGTGGTCCATTTTCTCCACGGCGCGCGTGGCCCTCTGAGAGTCGTTATAGATTTACTTTTCCCAGGACTGTAGGTGCTCGGTGGAGCTTGCTGGGTGACGGGATGTGAGTGAGCATGGAGGTGGACAAGTCGGGGGCAGGTGCCCCAGCCCAACCACCCCCCTGCCCGCCGCACTCACCGGGAAGGCCAGCTGGCAGATGGGGCCCATCCAGGCCTGGCGGTGCTGCGCAGCCAGCAGGTGGCTTCGCTCGGTGGTGGTGAGCAGGAAGGCACCGGTGTCCCGGGGACAGCTCTCACCGTCGGCCGGCAGCACCGACACACAGTCAGCCAGGCGGATGACCCGTCGCTCCCCTCGCCGGCCAGGCCCTGCCGACCTGTCACCTGCTGCTCCCAGGCCACCATCCCGGACCTCCCAGCTCTCCAACCGTGCCACGCCTGATGGGCCTCCTGCATACAGCAGAGCCCACACCTTCCGCCAGCACTTCTGCGGGAGAGGAGGGGGAGAGCGAAGACTCTTGGGTGGCAGATTCTCCGTGCCACTCGGTTCAGCACAAGCTGCTTGGCAAACGCTCCCAGTCAGGAGCGGGCCTCTGCTCCCTAGTTTCTCAGGGCGCCAGGAAGGAGGCCTTGGCTGGGCTTGGGACTGGTCAGCCCTGGGTTCAAATCCCAGCCTGCTCTTCCTGAACTGCAACCTCCACAAGCATCAGTGTCGTCTCTCAAAAGGCCACGAGAACACGAGTTGGGGCTGCTACCGGGTCATGTTTGTAAAGCATTCAGTGGCCGGGCAGACCACCAGACACTGCCATTATGTTGGCTCCCTCTTGCCCCCAAAAAGGGGCAGTTGGGCCACACGCCAAGGGCTGGGGTGGGAGGGAGGCCTCCACCTCACGCTGGTAAGGAAGGAAACATGCAAATAGCTTCGAGCAAAGGAAATCGACGGTTTATCTGCCTGGGCAGCAGCTGCAGCTGAGCTGTGGGGGTGTGGGGCCGCTGCCGAGGAGAGGTGACCCCCCTGCCTCGCTGCTCCCAGGACAGTGCTGCTGCAGGGAGGGGCTCCACCCTTGGGGCTCCAGCTCAGCCCCTCACCCTCCCTAGGGCCCGCAGTGGGTCAGAGGCCGTGAAGCTCTTCCCTGCTGGGAGGTTTGAGCCTTCAACCCTCTCCCACTCCTGTATTCCCCGTCTCTCCCAGAGGCAGGGTCTGGCAGACTCCGCTCAGCCCCTGCCATCTCTGGCCGAGACCCGTGCTCTGTTCCACTCCCCATACCTGGGGTGGGATCCTTCACCCTGACTCCCTTCCCAAGTCTCCCAGGTCTGCCTGGGCTGTCCGAGGCAGGGGCGGAGGCTGCCTTCTCCACCCACTGTCGGTCCTTGGCAGCTGCCTGGCAGCCGGGAGTCCCCACCTTGCCAAACTTGACATGCTGCTGGTAGAGGATGCCATCCTTGATAGGGGTCTCCACAGGGTCCATGGTCACGCAGGGAGCAGGGCCGCCGCTTCAAGACCTGGGGAGACTGATGACAGGCTGGACGGGAACTCCTCACACTTCCCCTTCTGGCCACTTCCCGTCCCTCCGTCCAGAAGCAGCTGCAGGCCGGGGGGAGGGGAATCTGTCTTCAGCTCGGGCTGGGGCGGCGTGGATTTCCTTCCTGGGGTTCTGGCTGCCCAAGGTGCCCACACCTACCTGGAGGGAGTCCCTGGCCACCTGAAGGCAAACAGCCTGTGCCCGCACCTGGTTCAGCTGGGCACGAGCGTCTGGTGGCAGGCTGGCTCCCTGCGTCATGCGTTCCCGCCTTCTCTGCCCTGGGCAGCTGTGCACCCTGGCCTGAACTCCCTGGCCATGCCTCCAGCCGGGACCCTTCTCTAGCCAACTCCTGGCTTTCCCACTTGGCGTCCCAGCTTGAGCGCCTCACCCCATCTTGCTGTTCTTTCTCCCTGAAATCTCTCGTGTTCACCTGCTCCTCTCCACCCGACGAGCCACTGAACGTTGCCAGCCTTGGCATCCCCCGGGCCCCATGCAGCACTTTCCACAACCCAAGACCACCCTGTCTCTCCCTTTCCTGGGCTGCAGCCCTGGTTCCTCAGCCCAACACTCAGGGACCCATGTGTTCTGGCCTCCATCTCTCCCAGGCTCATTCCCCCAGACCAGCCTCTCTGGGGCCTCCTCACCACTGTGCTGCCTGGGGTGGTGGGTCGCCTCTTCCTCCTGGAGGCCTTCCCTGACCACCACACGCTGTCCGAGAGCACAAAGGCCCTCACGGTATACACTCACGCTGGGTATCCAGTCCACATGGGATCCACACCCCTGAATGGCCCCAACCACGTGAGTGTGGGTGGCAGGTCCCAGTGGGCCCCGGAGAGGTCACATGTTCATTTAAAGCGTTGCTTCCTGCTGGGGGCTCATTTTGTTGGCTTGCCTAGCAGGAGACCAGTAGCGGGGCTGTGTGTGTGTATCTTTATTCTGGAACAGTCTCAGGTCATTCAGTGTCACCTCTGGGAGAGAACATGGAAGCAGGCTAAGGAATGCCGTTTGGGCATGCACTTGGCCAGGAAATATTTCCTGAAGGCCTCCCAGCACCCGGCTCTGTGCCCACTGTGCCCAGGCAGCGCTGAGCTCCAGCGACCTCAGACACCATGTCCTCTGCATTCTCATCGCCATTTCAACAATGAGGAAATCAGTGCTTAGAAAAATGAAGTAACTTGCCCAAGACCACACACCAAGTGAGAAATACGGCTTGAGCAACCACCGTCCCACTGGAATGAGCATGTGGCCATACACACAAAGTGCCCGGTTCAGAGGAAGTGTGGCTGCCTGTGCCGTTCCCTGCCTACCTCTCGCCAGATGCCGAGATCCTGCTTCATCTGCCAGCGGTCTTGTGACTGCCGTCCACGTTTCTGTGTGTGCGTCTTTCTCTCCCCTTGCCTGAGAGCTTCCCAGGTAGCCATCTCCCTGGCCCGTCTGGGTCCTCACAGCTCAGCAGAGCTGGGCACAGAGCAGGCTTAGGGGGAGCTTGTGGCCTGAACGGCAGTTCTATGACATCTGCTGCCTCCTCAGTCAACAGAGCAGAGGGCTTCCTACAGGTGGCTGGCGCAGGCAGGCAGTGGGTGGGGAGCCTGAGGCAAGCAGCAGCCTCCCAAGGGGCTTCAGGAGAAGCCCCTGAAAACATCACACCACTGACAGGAAGAGTGAGCCCGAGAGCTGTGACAGCTGGCCAGGGAGACCAGAGAATCCAAGCACTTCTCCTTGGCCTGCCAGTGTGGTCCCTCCTTGAGTCATAAATTCACACAACCCAATGGAGAGATGCTGAGTCCCCAGAGGCGGGCACCAGCTCGGTGGCTCCTTCCACGCCCACGTACCAGCAGGCCGGGTGTTGGCAGTGCTAGCGGGAGACGCTGGGGCCTTGCCTCAGAGGGGCTCCAGAGGTCAGAGGTGATGTCTGCCCAGGAACCAGGGGGCGGATGAGATGAAACACAGAGGCAGGGCCAGGGCTGGGATAGAGGTTTGTGCTTTAATGGCAGCTGGGGTGAAAGGAAACAAAAATAGTAATTCTGAGGAGCACAGGGAACAGGCAACCAGGACCAGTCTGGCCCAGCCCAGGCCAGCCGAGCTGAGATGCTGGTTCTGTCCAGGGGGCTGCTGTGTGTGTAGACTGGCAGCAATCTTGGGGACCGAGGCCCCTTGGAGAGGAGGGAAGACCATCGGGTCAGAAGTCCATGGAGCTGTGGGCCAGGTAGTCCTTGCGGCCGATGTTGCTGACCTGCTTGGTCTGCATAGCCTCGAGTTTGGGGCAGTCGGTGATCCGATGGCCCAGGCCCCCGCAGAAGGCACAGCCGCGCTCTCCTGGGGGAATGGGGACACGGATCAGCCAAGTCAAGGGCCAGGATCCATGCCCTGGACCTCAGGCACCCTGTTAGGCACCCTCGGTCCCTGTTTCGTGTTTCTGAATTCCAGCACCCCCTCCTGCCACCCGCCGGCTGGGGGACTCAGGGATCCCGCTCCGCAGTCACCTCCAATGTCCAGCATGGACTCGTCCCCGCAGTGCAGCACCTGCAGCACAGGTGGCACCTTCTGCCTGGCTTCCAGCAGCAGCGCTTTGAGGTCCATCAGCACTGACTCATCTGGTGGAGGAGTGAGGAAGCATCAGGGCCCATCCTGGGCCCTGTGGCCAGAACCTGGGTGGCCACAGGCAGGGGACCCGGGGAATAGCTAAGGTGGCTCTGGTGACAGACTCACCACAGGCTTTGTTGATGAAGGTAGTGGCGATGCCTGTGTTTCCCGAGCGTCCGGTGCGGCCAATCCGGTGTACTGTAGAGAGAGGGAGAGAGTCTCTGGCCCACCGCTGGACACTAGGTGCCTGGCTTGGCCCTTCCCCAGCCTAGCCCATGCCCTTGGGCCCCAGGCCCCTACCATAGTTCTCAATCTCCTCCGGCATGTCATAATTTATGACGTGCTGGATGGCAGGAAAGTCCAGGCCCTTGGAGGCAACGTCTGTGGCTACTAGGACATCCTTCTTGCCCTCCCGGAACGCCTCGATGGCCTTTGTCCGTTCCTCCTGGTCTGGGGAGGGTCAGGCAGACACTGTCGGAGCCGCCACCGGATGGGGAGTGGCAGGCCGCCCAAGCAGGGGAAGGCGTGGGGTAAAGCGCCGCTACTGCGGCAGGGTCCAAGCCAGTGCGTGCACCACCCTGACCTTTGCCCCCATGGATGGCTACGGCCTCAACCCCCTTGAGCAGCAGGTACTCGTGGATGGCGTCCACGTCTGCCTTCTTCTCTGCAAAGATGAGTACCTGTCCGGAAAGACAAACTCCAGTCAGGGGCTAACTGCCTGGGCACCCACCTCACCTCCCCCGGCACTCTGTCCCCTCCAGAGCCCTGCCTGGTCCTAGGGACTCTGGCCCCAGCCTGGCCTGGCTGCACTCACAGGCGGGGGCGTCTTCTGCAGGCACTCGAGCAGGTACACCATCTTGGCCTCCTCCTTCACGTATTCTACCTCCTGCCACAAGGTGATCTTGAGGTTAGGTTTACCCGCCATAGCCGTGCCACAGCCCGTCATCTGGACCATGAGGTGACCAGAAGCCTCTGGCCGCCAAGGGCTGGGTGTCCTAAAAATTTCCCTGGTTAAGGTTCAGGGGCTTTGAATGAAACCCCCAGTTCCCACAAGGTGGACCCCTGGCTCCAATCAGCTTCAGGGAGCCTTATCAGATCCAGCCCCCACAGGTGAGAGACCGCCCATCAGGAGCGCCGGCCCACCTGGATGACATCCAGGCTGGCAGCCCCAGCGCGCCCCACGTTGATGGTGACAGGCTTTACAAGGGCACTCTTAGCAAAGTTCTGAATCTTCTTCGGCATGGTGGCACTGAAGAGCAGGGTCTGTCGCTGGCCCTGAGGAAGCGGGGGGGTTGCGACCAAGGGCACGCAGGGCTGGGCTGAGGGGCATGGGGTCTGAGGAAGCTGAGCAACTGAGACACAGCCCACGAAGTACGAGCAGTGGGTGGTGTGGTCAGAGGCGTGGGGTCTCCACAGTTTGATGTGGTGTGTGGTGGTGGGGTGGTGTAGGGGTGCCCTGGCTGGGTGGGGGCAGGCACCTTGAAGTAGGAGAAGATGGTGCGGATGTCGCCCTCGAAGCCCATGTCGATCATGCGGTCAGCCTCATCCAGGGCCAGGTAGCGACAGATGTCTAGGCTGACCATCTTCTTCTGCAGCAAATCCATGAGGCGCCCTGGGGTGGCCACCATCATGTGTACACCGCTGGGGACCAAGCAGAGACCCTGAGGTTGGGGCCACTGGCCTAACACCTACCTAAAGGCAAGCAGACACTCTGCATCTGTTCTGCTCTCTGTCCTCCTTCCTATTTCTTTGTCCCCTTCTCATCGTTCCCACCACCTGCCCTATGGATAGCACACAACTCTCTCCCAAGGCGCTGCAGCCATCTTCACCACCGCTCAGCCTGGCACGCCCTTCCCCCTTCTCCTGGGTCAGTCCTCTCACCCAGAAGCGCTGTCCTGAAGCTCCAGAGGCTTTACTTGGGGCTCACTTTCCTGGTCCACTGGCTTCATCTTTTCTGTGCCCACATCTCCCTAAGACTCAGAAGTCCATAGAGAAAGGCCTCTGGGATGGGGTCTGGCCCATCTGTAAACAGAGGGCCTCGTCCAGGGCCTCTGGCGGTCTGCAGAGGACTGCACAGCACGGAAAGGACACAAGTGCCACTGGGATCCAGCCCTACCCCAGTGCCTCAACCTCCTTTACTGACCACTGAATGACCCTGACATTCCTGGGCCGTCCACCTCTGTGTTTTCAGCCTGGACTGCTCCTCTTCCAAATTCAAACATCACCTTCCCTGCAAAGCCTGCTCTGAGCTCCCACCTCCCAGATGTCCCCAGCAAGGTGCGCCATTCCATCTGCTGTGCTCCCACAGCACCGGACCACATCCCTCTGTCCTCCCCATTAGACTGGGAGCTCCTTGACGGTTGGACTCACAGCAGCCCTCTGTGAAGATCTGTGGAGTGGCTAAGGTAAAGGGTCCTTTAGCTTTTCCACAGACTCGCAGGTGGCAGAGGTGGGGGCAGGGAGCGCCAGCACTCACTGTCGGATGGTCTCCATCTGCTCCTTCACGGACATGCCCCCAATGCAGAGCGCGCAGCGCAGGAGTGGTGAGCTGTCCTCCTGCAGCAGGCGGCAGTAGTACTCCAGGATGCCATGGGTCTGCCGGGCCAGCTCCCGCTGCAGGCAGAGGGACAAAGGCTGGTACCAGATGGCAGCCCCAGTCTCTGGCCTGCCCTCCAGGCCAGCCTGTCTTACCGAGGGGCATATGATGAGTCCGTAGGGCCCCTCGCGCTTTGAGAAGGGTAACCTCTTCTCTTGTTCCAGGCAGAACATGATGACAGGCAACGTGAACACCAGTGTCTTGCCTGAACCCGTGAAGGCGATGCCTATCATGTCACGGCCAGACAGACTGTTGGGAGAGGATGACCCGAGAGCCAATTTCAACAGAAGATGAAGGACACCTAGCCATTGCTCCTCGCTGTTCCCGCCCTCCTCAAGGACCCCAGGTCCACAGTCCACACTCACATGGTGGGGATGCCCTGGATCTGAATGGGTGTTGGGTGGTGAATGCCTTTCTTCTTCAGGCCTCTCAGGATGGCTATGAAAACCAACAGACATCGTCCTTGTGACTCACAGGTACTTTCTGAGAGCCCCAAAGCCTGTAAAACTGGCACTACCCCTACAAGTTGCAGATGATGAAACTGAGGCTCAGAGCAAGAGAGAGAGAGGGAGGAAAAAAAAAAACAAAAAAGAGACTTGTCCAAGGCCCACAGGCTAGGTGCAGCCAGGACTTGTACCCAGTGTCTATGCCCAATGGCACTTTCCTCCTGAAGCTTCGTCACAGCAGAGAACAATGAACATGTACAGCTGGGGCAACAAGGAACCTAAAGACACTTCTCCTCAAATCCCTCCAGCCCCAGTGACTGGATCCAATGCAGATGTGGCTGAACTCAGGGTGGGCTCGGACATAACCTCACAGGCATTTGATTATAAAATGTGGTATCTCTCTCCAGTCCCTGACTACCTGCAGGAAACTTCATTTCCTTGAAGCTCTTGATGGGTGGTGGGATACCGTCTCCCTCCACCAGGATGTGGTATTTCTTCCGCACGCGCTCATGACGCTCTTCAGACATGCTCAGGACATAACGGGGCGGAGTCCAGCTGTGGATGGGTAACAGGGATCAAGAGAGCTCTGGGAACAGCTGGCCTTGGAGCAACCCTGCATGTACCATCCTAAGCAAGGGCAACTGCAGACTGTACAAACATACCTGGTTTTGATGGGGTCATCATATGTGATGCCCTTGGCCATCTCCTTCACTGACATCAATGCTGAGGAGAAAGACATGGCTCGGGGCTGGCTCCTACTTCTGAGAAGCCAGATCCCTTGAGATATAACATGCCTGGGGCTGGGAGGAGGAGACTCAGTCTACCTCCTCACTATCCTGGCTGCAACCATACCTCGGCCCTCAGCCACACTCTCCAGGATCTTCTCTTCTTCCTTCAGCTGCTTCTCCTTGGCAGACTCTTTGCGGGCTGAGAAAAGAAGTGGAAGATGTCAGACAGATACCAACACGGTGCGCCAGGCTCGGCTTCTGCTTTCCCGCCCCGGCAGTGCTGCCCAGCCCACCTTCAGCCTTCTCTTTAAGGTGCTGGTGCTGATCCAGGAGGCTGACGTTGGACTGAGGGCCTAGCGGGATGTCGTCCTCATCTCCCCGGGGTTCACTACCGCTGTCCTGCTGCTCTTCTTCCGCAGCTCCCTTGCGTCTTCGCTGCAGCAGCTTCTGGAGCTGAGGTTCCAGCCGAGACCCACAGATAGAACGGGAATCGGGTCCACAGGGCCAGCGTCAGGATCCTGGCTTTGGGACGAGGATCCTGTGCCCGAGGCGCAGAACCGCCCTACCCCTCAGATCAGGCCGTCGGTCCCTCGTTTGTCTGGGGGCTGCGCCCCGGTGTACTGAAGCTCACTCCTCAGACTGCCCTCCCTGCGACCGGCGGTCACGGCCCCATCCCTCCCCGGACGCGGGCCCCTCACCAGTAGCTGCCGGCGCTGCCGTAACGGCACATAGGGCACGTAGTCCTCGTCGTCCTCATCCTCCGCCTCGGAGCGGCTTCCTCCGGCAGGCACCTCGTCGGTGCGAGCCCGCTGCAAGCACACTAAGTCAGGCACGGCCTGCTCCCCACTTCACGCCCGCTCTCACCCGCGAGGAGCCTCGCCTCTCTCCTACCTTCCGTTCGGGTTCCGACTCCTCCATTCTTTGCTGCACGCATGCGCGCCACGGCGAAACCCCGCCTCATCTTTGCGTGGGACCCAATCCGATGTGAAGAAGCGAACGTCGGCGCCTAGCAACGACCTCGGAGTTCCGGATCGCGCAGAGGGACAAATTTGCTCCGGAGCTGCTATCGCACGGCGAAGCGTCGACGCTTTCATGGGTGGTTACGCGACAGCTGCCAGGACCGAGGGCGAAACCGGCTGCAAGGCATTGTGGGACACCGGAGGACTTGGAGCATGAGCTAAAAGGCTCAACCCAGGGCCCGCTGGAAAAGGAAGACGCACGCAGCGGAGACAGCTGATCCGGAGTCGGGGCCGGCCGCCGGGTGCCCAACCTTTCCCAGAGCATGGCGTCTTGGGCACCCCCCTACTGGCGGACAGTGCGTCCTCTAGGGCCGGGAGCTATGGGCCGAGTCCGCGTGGGCCGCCTGCGCTTCCATCCCTGCCAGGGCCGCCGGGGTTGCGGGATAAACCGCTCCACGCACCCTGCCGCCCTGACTGCGCCTGTGTGACACCTATGTTCAGTGGTGGGGGACGCATCAGAAACGGATGGCAGTGGTTTTGAACTGGGAGGCCCTGTATAAATGTAAACGGTTATTACTGTAAATGCCCTAACAGAGCTGCCTGGGGGGCGCTTCCAGGGAAGCGTGGGAATCTCAGGCTGGGAGAGGAGAAGCGTCCTGGGCCAGGGCGCTGCAGGAATGCAGGTCTGGCGATGTGCAAGTACACAGATTCACCAGGCAACAGCATTGCGGCTAGGGTGGGATGGGGAAGCCCGAGCTAAGGCCAGAAAAGGAGATTGCGACCAGAGCATACCTGCTGTGACTCTCAGAGTAAGTGGTTTCAACTTTATTAGAGACTTCTAAGGAGGAATGACTTGGTCAGCTCTGTGCTTTCTTTCCTTCAAAAGTGTGTGCTGGGCATTGGCACTGCGCTCAAGCAGATGACAATCAAGACACATACCTGGTGTGCGAGGAGCTTATGGATTAGTTGACACTAGAAATATAGACAGATAACTAGTCTTGAAGTTAAAGGTTCTGGGGGCCGGGCGCGGTGGCTCACGCCTGTAATCCCAACACTTTGGGAGGCTGAGGCGGGCGGATCACGAGGTCAGGAGATCCAGACCATACTGGCTAACACGGTGAAACCCCGTCTCTACTAAAAATAATTAGCCGGGCGAGGTGGCGGGCGCCTGTAGTCCCAGCTACTCGGGAGGCTAAGGCACGAGAATGGCGTGAACCCGGGAGGCGGAGCTTGCAGTGAGCTGAGATCCGGCCACTACAGTCCAGCCTGGGCGACAGAGCGAGACTCTGTCTCAAAACAAAAAACCTAAGACAAGGTATCGCTTTTGGAAGTGTAATAGTTTTCATAGTACAATGGTCTCTTAGCTGGGATGTGAAGGATACACAGGAATTCATGAAAAACGGGGAAAATTAGAGGAGGAGGAAAATATGTGAAAGTTGGGAGACCTGTGGTTGTGAGACCTTACTGGAGAGGAAGGTCGTCCAGCATGGCTGGAACAAGTACTGGAGTCAGGGGCCCAGGCACGAAGGTCTCAAATGCCACAGAAGTCTGTTTCCGTAGGTAGATGGGCTGCTTGATCAGACCTGCACATTTTGAATGAAGCAGAATTTTAGGTAGTGTTGCCAATTCAACTGCAGGGCAGGAGTGTAATACAAGAGCCCATGGGAGAGGGGAACACAGCCAATAAATTTACAGAGAAAGGTTTCACAGCGTCCACATTTCCCTTGGGGATTGGGAAAGGCCAGGGACCAGGAATTGTGAGTCTGTGGGCACTGCTGTTCTTTTCTTTAGTAAAGAAAGCTTAGGCTGGGCACAGTGGCTCGTTCCTGTAATCCCAGCTCTCTAGGCGGCCAAGGCAGGAGGATCACTTGAAGCCAGGAATTCGAGGCCAGCTTGGACAACATAGCAAGACCCCCCATCTCTGTAAAAAAAATAAAGAAGCTGGTGCTTACTGCCAGTCCCTTGGTAGGTCTCAACCTGGGAGGGATGGAGGAGGATACATGGTTTCTGGTCCTGCTCACAACACCCAAATACATGGCTCTTAGTGACCCTGTTAGCTCCCTACGTAAACTTGAGTTGGTTTTAGGAGCAGAAACTAAACTTTGGGGCATGGAGTTTGGACACAAGTGTGTGAGGGGCATTTTGGGCAAACTCATTATATTAAAATCCAAATTTACAGGGGATGAGGTAGTTTGCTTGACTTTACATAAGAGTTCATTATCCTCTTAACTCTCAAGTCCTCAGCTACATGTCCCACCCCCACTGGAAAATCAGATCTAATTAAATTTTTTTTTTTTTTCTTGAGACGGAGTCTCGCTCTGTCGCCCTGGCTGGACTGTAGTGGCCAGATCTCAGCTCACTGCAAGCTCCGCCTCCCAGGTTCACGCCATTCTCCTGCCTCAGCCTCCCGAGTAGCTGGGACTACAGGCGCCCACCACCTCGCCCAGCTAGTTTTTTGTATTTTTTTTTAGTAGAGACGGGGTTTTACCGTGTTAGCCAGGATGGTCTCAATCTCCTGACCTCGTGATCCATCCGTCTCGGCCTCCCAAAGTGCTGGGATTACAGGCTTGAGCCATCGCGCCCAGCCTAATCAGATCTAATTTATAAAAAAACCTCAGTTTACCCCCAACTTCCCCTGACTGTGTGAAGTCAGTGTGAGGGGCCTTGATGGCCCAGGCTACAGATCCTCAGGGTCTTTCCTAGACCTCTTCTGACATCCAGATGCACAGAGACCAACTTCAACCCCTCCAACTCACCCATCTTGCAAAGAGGGAAACAAGAAAGAGTGGGGAAGGGGCTGCCCTAGGCTCACATACCAGAGACCTCCCAACAGGAGAAAAGGGCATAGATGCCAGAGTCATACCAGTCTGTGCTCGAGCCTAATCAGCTAGACTGATTTCAGCTCAGTCACTTTCCTATCGGCTTCAGTTTCCTCACCTGTAAAATGGGACAGCAGCACCAAACTGCTGATGCATGGCACATGCTAGGGTTAGTGACTAAGGGAGAGCCCATGCTTCTGAGCACACCCTCAACTCCCTCCCTGCCCAGACCCGCAAATCACCAACATGCCAACTCTGTGTCCAAATGTTGCTTTATCTTTCGGCATGAAAGATCTTCACAGTATCAAAAGTAAAGAATTGGAAAAAAATAAAATAAAAACAAAAACAAAAAAACCGAACACAAAGAGAGCAGTGTTGGGCTAGCAGTACCATCAGCCCCGGCCCTTAGGCCAGCCCAGTCCACGGGCTCTGAGTGTGGAGGCTGCGTAGCACCAGGAAGCGGCTCTGCTGAGGTCAAGGGGCCCCAGCACAGTGTGGCATCCGTTCAGATTTTGGTTGGTCCAGGATGGTGGGGAGCAGAGAAGGTCTTGGGCGGGTAGGTGGGGCACACGGAAAAATTGTAGGCTTTCAGCTGGCAGTCGGGGCCTCAGGACGCCCTGAAGAAGCTCAGCCTGGGCAGGGCCTGAGAAAGAAAAAGAGCAGAATCACAGTAAGCAACAGCCCATGCTCCAGCCTCCCCATGCCATTTGGGTACCCATGGGTCTCTGGTAGCAGAAACAGCTGGCTATTTTTGTTTCCTGGGCTGAAAATGTTGAACAGATTCCCTGAATCACCTGTAGCAGAGGAGGCAGGTTAATGGGTTGGGAGACAAAGCCCCAGTCCTGGGATCCTGACAAGGTGTGGGACAATCCTTGAGTAGATCCAGCCTTTGGCACTCGAAGTCCATCAGCAGGGGCCAGGAGGCTAGCTGTGCAGCTGTGCTCCTGCCTCTGACTCCAGGTACACAGCCCGGGGGAGGGTGAAGAAGGTCAAAGGAGAGCACTTACTAGGGGGTGGGGAAAGGGGCATCTGCTATCTTGGAAAAGAGGCCAGACCAGGTGAAAAAGGGTCAAGAGGAGGGAGTGGAAGGAGACAATTGTGTTTGATTTCCTGGATGACAGAACTGGGCTTGTAGGAGACGCGATCTCCTTTCTCTCAGTAGGGATAACAGAGGAAGTGCCTGGGGTTCCTGCTACTTCTGGTTCCCATGGAGGTGGAGAAGAGAGGCAGGATGGCACCCTGGATCTGGAAGATGCTTCTGGGGCTTGTGGGCATCTCAATTTGGCAAAGGGGGCTGACTGAGCCCAGCCCCCTCCGAGCAGAGGAGGACTAAAGTGGGCATAAAGACTCTGGACTCTGGGGCGGCACAAGGGTCATAGGGAGCCCTAGCTCTGAAGGCTGTCCTGGCTGCAGGCTCTCTGAGCTGCCCCTGGGGAGCTGAGGGTCCAGGAAGTTTGCTGCTTAGGCCCAGAGAGGAGCTGGCCTGGCACTGGAAAGAGAAGAAAGACAGGTGGGGCCATCATAGGAGAAGCGAGTTGTTTGTGAGCTCAGTCTGCCTGCCCCAGCCTTCTGTAGTCTCCAGGACAGCTATGTGGTTGCCAGCCGGAAAAGGCCTGACCCCAGGAACGCAGCTGAGGATTGAGGTATGAAACTGCAGAGCCACTCAGCCCCCAGCCCAGCCTAAGGCCTGCCTGCTAGCTGCCCTTCTCTTCATCAGCAGGGTTCCAGGCCCAGTGCCTTCTCCAGTTTTCTGTTCCCAGTCCAGATCATCATCTGGTACATCGTTTCAGACAAAAGAACCTGTGTGGGTGGCTGGGAGAGGATTCCAAAGCCATTTGGCACCCAGGTCTCTTCTTATAGGAGGCAGTGTGGCTACCAATATCCTCATGGAACTTGTCCTGCTTTGGGGAGCTGCCATCAACCCCTCCATGCCTAAATGACCTACAAGCCTTCGGCCCAGCCCATCTGCACCCCCACGATGTTCACTCAGGGCTGGCCCCTTCTTACACTGCTTCAGCTGGGAAGCACCTTGGTAGCCTACACTGAGGAGCCCAGGGCAGGAAGTGGGACTTGACACAAGGACTGATAACATCAGGGGTGAGGACAGCCCCCATGGGTCTGATGGCTATCTGGGCACTTTTGAAAGCAGCTGGTAAGACCCTGCTGGTGATGCCCTAGGAGATGCCAGTCCAGGAGATGCCATGCTCCAGGGACCTTCAGGAGCATGGGCAGGAGGGCCCAGGGAGGAGTAACAGGAGAACAGAGGCCTACAGGTGAGTGGCTGTAGGAGGAGATGGGGCCTAGATCTTTGGAGGCTGTAGCCAACTGTGCCATTGCTGTGGAGGTGTAGACAGAGGCCAGGGCTTCCACACCCAAAGCCCAACTCCCTATGCCCCAGAGCACAGAATGGTCTGGCGGGGGTATAGAGTGTGGCCAAGCACAGGGAGAGGCAGTGGATGTAACTCTTAGGGTCTCTGTACCTCACTGAGCTGTGCTGGGAGTGGTTTTCTTGAGGCTGAAGTTGGTCCAGTTCACAGCAACTTTCTGACGAGTCTGCTTTGCAGAATCCAAACAGAACCTGTTGGGTTTGGGGGACACAGGAGAAGCACAATCAGAGGTTCCTTCTCTTCCTCACTGGACTCCTAAGGTACCATGTCCCCATTTTTTAAGACACCAGGTTCTCTACAAACCTCTTTGGCTCTCAGGTGTTAGTGTTTAGCAGGCATAGGAGCTTTGCTGGCTTGGTGGCTTCTGGACTGGGTCCAGGGGACAACATATGAAGACAGTGAAACTGCCTTGGGATTCTACTTCCTTCCTCATCTGGTGTTTGACTCTCTAGCTCTGCTGGGCTGGCTTCCATCATTCCCTTAAGTACAGTCGTCCCTCTGAATCTGCTGGGGATTAGTTACCCAGATGTCGAAATCTGCAGATGCACAAGTCCCTTATATAAAAAATGGTGCAGTACTTGCATATAATCTGCACGGCTCTTCCCATATACTTTTATTATTATTATTATTTTTAATAAGAGATGGGGTCTCACTATATTGCCCAGGCTGGTCTTGAACTTCTGAGGTCAAGCGATCCTCCCACCTTGGCCTTCGAAAGTGCTGGGATTACAGGCGGAAGCCACTGTGCCTGGCCTTCCCATATACTTTAAATCATCTCTAGATTACTTAAAATACCTAATACATGGCCGGGCGCGGTGGCTCAAGCCTGTAATCCCAGCACTTTGGGAGGCCGAGACGGGCGGATCACGAGGTCAGGAGATCGAGACCATCCTGGCTAACACAGTGAAACCCGGTCTCTACTAAAAAATACAAAAAACTAGCCGGGTGAGGTGGCGGGCACCTGTAGCCCCAGCTACTCGGGAGGCTGAGGCAGGAGAATGGCGCAAACCCGGGAGGCAGAGCTTGCAGTGAGCTGAGATCCGGCCACTGCACTCCAGCCTGGGCGACAGCACAAGACTCCCTCTCAAAAAAAAAAAAAAAAAAAAAACCTAATACAATGTAAATGCTATGTAGTTATATTTTTATTTTTATTTATTTTTGAGACAGAGTCTTACTCTGTTACCCAGGCTGAAGTGCAATGGAACAATCTTGGCTCACTGCAACCTCTGACTCCCAGGTTCAAGCAATTCTCTTGCCTCAGCTTCCCAAGTAGCTGGGATTACAGGCACTGCCACCATGCCTGGCTAATTTTTGGATTTTTATTAGAGACAGGGTTTCACCATTTTGGCCAGACTGGTCTCGAACTCCTGACCTCAAGTACCTCAAGTGATCCACCCCCCTTGGCCTCCCAAAGTGCTGAGATTACAGGTATGCGCCAACGCCTGTAAAAATACTTATTTTTTTGAGACAGAGTCTTGCTCTGTGGCCCAATCTCAGCTCGCTGCAGCCTCTGCCTCCCAGGTTCCAGCGATTCTCCTGCTTCAGCCTCCTGAGTAGCTGGGATTACAGGCACGTGCCACTACGCCTGCCTAATTTTTGTATTTTCAGTAAAGACAGGGTTTCACTAAGTTGGCCAGGCTTGAACTCCTGACCTCAGGTGATCTGCCCGCCTCAGCCTCCCAAAGTGCTAGAGTAAGAAGCATGAGCCACTGTGCCTGGCCAAAAATACTAATTTTTAAAAATTTTGCATTATTTAGTAATGTATTGCTATTTTTTTTTTCCTGAATATTTTCGATTGCAGATATGGAGGGTGACTGTATGCTGTGTTTCTTTCACCCTAATCTTCTGTACTCACTGCCCCCCTTGGCATGAATACCTTTTCATCGTGTCTGGCCAACTCATTCTTACTCTTCAGGTTTCAACTTGGTTACCACCTCTCCTAGGAAGGCCTCCTGGCCAGCCCCCACCCCTTCTATCCTCCCCAACCCTATGCCATGTAACAGTAGGCTGCATGTTCATGGCCATCTAGACTCCTAGTCCAGACTGCTTCACTGACTTCAGCCCAGGCAAAGCAGAGAATGTGCAAGTGAAGACACAAAGTGAATATAGCTGGAAAAAGCCCTGGTTCTAGGGGCCTGACATGCCTCCTCCTGTCTCTCTTGCACATTCCTAGATGTGCCATCCTGCCCAGTTGCTCCGTGGATTTTCAGCAGGCAGGCTGGTGGGAGAGGGCCTGGGGGGGGGGCGGTGAGCCTCCCCAAGGGGTCAGGGCCAAGGGAGCAGGCCTTTTTGAGGCTTGAGGCACAACACGGGGCTTGAGTGTGGGCAGGACCTGGAGTCCTCCACAAGTGGGAGAGCAGGCAGCCCACACCTACCTCTTAAAGTACTCCACCTCTCGGTCAGTCTCATCCATCTCCACCCCGTCCATGTCCTTGGGCAGGAACACATCGTCTAGGAAGACACAGCCAGGAGGGCTCAGTGCCCATGGCCAGGCCTCTGGGGTTATGCTCTGGGGGCAGCACTGCCTACACACAAAGGCTGCCCCTCCACCCCGTGGCCTGGCTGGGGTAGGGGTCAGCCGCTCGGTTCCTGGTGCACTCACCCAAGGAGGAGGCTGGCTTCTCCTGCTTGTTGCGGCTCCGGCGGCTGCGGCCCTTGCCCTGGGGCAAGCTCTGTGGCCTTGCTGGGCCTGAGGGCTGCAGAGACTCCTGCTCCTGAGGCCGTGCCTTGGCCTCACCTGGCCAGTTTCGCCAGGAGCTGCCCTTCTCCTTCTCAGTTTTGGGGCTGCCAGCCCAACCTGGTCCTGGCCGGCTCCCCCGGCTCCCCTCTCCAGCCTCGGAACAGCTGCCTACTTTGGGAGGCTCTAGGACCTTGCCTGGTTGCTTGGGGCCAGCAACCTGGCCTTTGGCACTGGGAACCTCTAGGCTGGCTGGGGGCCGGGGGGCTGGGCTTGCCTCGCTCTTCTTGGCCTGACTGCCCTGCCTCTTGCCCTTCCGTGGCTTCCCACCTGAGGACACAGGCTCAGGCAGCTCCTGCTTGCAACTGGGAACTTCCTTTGAGCTTGGCTCCTCGGAGCTGGGGTAGCCCGACTTGGGTGTCTTGACCCAGATCACCCGGGACAGGTTGGGCACGGTGTTGAGTCTCCTCACGAGCCCGTTCTCGGGAGCGATACCGGGAGGGGGCCCCCTCACCTCTGTCCATGGTGGGTGGGGGCCTCTCATTTCTGCCCATGGTGGGGCTGGCTCGCCTGGAGCTTGTAACGTGTGGTTCTGAGGGGAGCCCAAAGTCAAAGGGGACAAGTCAAGGTTGATGTCAGGCTGCTGCTCTGAGGAGCCACTGAGGTTTGATGGGGGTAGACTCTGAGGCTCGGGTTCAGCAGCCCCCTCCTTAGAGAAGCCATTGCTGTCCATGCTGAGCTCACACACACTGAAGCTGGCACGGATGGAGTCTTTGACAGTGTTTTTGATCTCCTGCAGACGGCTGCTCAGGAAGCTGTTGACCCGATCCAGTTCCCGGTCGGGCCACTCCAAGAGCCTCTCCCTGGCAGGCCTTTGCTCCCGGCTTCCAGAAACACGATTCGCCTGCTTTAGAGATTCTGCTGCCAACTGGGCCTTCTCCTTTTCCTGCCAAGACAAGAGGCAGTTTTAGCAGGGGCTGTCAACTGCCAGGCACAATGTGATACCTGACCCATCAGCCTGGGGCCCAGCTTTGCCACTAACTTGCTGGAGGCAAAGCCTTAAAATCCTAGCCTGCTTACCCACCCTGCAGGAGTGACAGCAAACTGCAGCCAGACAGGTGCATGTCCTGGGGGCAGGGGTACAGTCACACCCACAGAGGGTAGGGTTTTTACAGCTTGTTCACCCAGAGCCCCAGTCTCAGTGGACTCATCTGCAAAATGGGGACAATAATTTCGGAGTAAAGCCAAAGTGGGGATGCATGTGAAGAAGACCACTACTAGAGAGGCATTCTCTCTACCCCTGCGCTTGGTAGGGAAAAAGCCATGCCATCACGGGGTCTTACAGCAGGCAGGTGTGGGGGTAGATGAGATTGTTCTGGTTGGGAGGACATGTGCCTTCCTGATACTATATCTGGGTATTACTAAAGAGGACAGTGTTCCCATAGAAAGGCCAGTTGCTACACACTTGGTCTCAAGTAATCAAGGCCACATCTAGATTGTGCCCAATGGCATGCCATGGACAACCACACTGTCCTACACAGCCAAGATGTGAAGGCTGCTCCTTTGCCCAGGTGAGGCCTGGAAGGCTGAGAGAGGCCACGCCCTGCTGGTTGGCTTCGATAGACCTGGATCTAGGGAATCAAAATGAAAGTCTGTGGGATCTGAGTCACCCCAACCTCTCCATCCCACCTCAAGGCCAACGACGCCTTTAGAGGGAGACAGGAGGCAGACACCAAAACCCTCGGGAAGGAGGTGGCTGTGATGTGCCTGGCACCACTGATTCCCACTGCCTCCTGTACTTCCAGCTGATTTGGGAATGGAGGAAGAGAAACATGAAAGGGCAGCTGGTGAGAGAAACCAGGGCTTGCTGCCACCTCAGAGTCAATGTAAAGAGGGTGACCCTGCGTCCCACCAGGCAGGCACTTATCTTTTGTGAATCCTGGCTCCACAATGGACTACAGTCGATTGTTCTGTGGGACCTTGGACAAATCACTTATTCTCTCTGAACCTTACTTTCCCTATTTGTAAGTTAGGAGGAAGAGGTATCTCTACATTCCAGGGTCACAATGAGGACAGCTGAGAGTCTCTGTGGGGTCCTTTCCCATGTGCAAAGGTGGGGCTGGGCTTCATGGCCCGCAGGGAGCAGCTTTTCTAGCTGTGGGTAGGGCTTAGAGGCCCTGGGTTGGACCAACAAGGACCAAGGGCCCTTCAGCTCGCTCCCCTAGCACCACACAGATTTCACAGAAAAGTTTTGCTGCTAAAACAAAAAGTCTGACTACTGGTGTGGAGGGAATGACATGGAACCATATACACTCTGGTATCAAGAGGAGAAAGCACAGAAACACACACTTTCTGCTTTGTACCATGAGCACTTCCCATAGATGTCTCCTTTAATCCTTGCCACTGTCTTTGTTGCATCATGACCCTCTGCTTATAGGAGAGAAACCTCGACTTTGGAAAGAACAGGAGGTGGCGGCAGCTAGGAAGTGGCAGAGCCAGGACAATACACCCAGTCCTGATCTTCAGAAGTTCCTGTGTTTCTCAATTCCATCTGACGACCATTTACCGACCATTGGGGCTGTGAGGCAGCAGGCCAGGCCCTGTGAGTTTAGCGTACGTGAGACATTCTCTGCCTCGCTGACTGTAGTCTGCTGAGGGAGACAACAGCAAACAGCCTGTTGAATTCAGAGTGACAGTGACAAACGCTGCATGGAAGAAGGCACAGGGTGATCTGGGAACCTAGAGGAGATGCTCCCAACCCAGACTGGGTCACCAGGGAGTGCTTCCTGGAGGCAGCAGGATCTGCACTGAGCACTGAAGGGGGAGTGGGATCATCCTGGAGGCAGTGGGACAAGCATTTTCTAGAGAGAAGGAATAGCAAGCGGAAAGGCTGGAAATGGGAAAGCTCAGTATCTTCTGGGAATGCAAATCATTTAAAAGTACAGCTGCAGCCCAGATTTTTTGGGGGATGTGGGGGTTGGGTGGGGCAGGTGGGTAGGAAGGTCAGAAAGGAGAGGCTGAGAGATAAAGCTGGCAAGCTGGCAGGGGCTGATCGTGAAGAGCCCTGCAGGCCCTACAGAGTTTGTGCCCGAGGGCAGCGTCCAGCTACTAATGGCTTTTAAGGCAGTGGCAGTAGGGTGGAGAGCAGTGGACTGGTCTGAGCTATCAGCGACGTGGCATGGATAGGGCTTTTGGTGATGGGTAGGGAGACATAATGAGAAAAGTCAGAGAAACATTGACGGCCACTATGGCTGCCACAGCAGCCCCACTGCCTGAACACTCACACGTGCCAGGCACTCTGCCCAGTCTTCCCATGCATTGCTCCATTTCATCCTCGCAACAATCTATGACTTAGGTTCTGTTATTCTCATTTTATGGATGAAGAAACCGAGGCTTAGAGGTTAAGTGATTTGCCCAATGTCATACAGCAAATGTGGCTGAGCCAAGTGTCAAACTGAGATCCAGTTCCAGGCATGCTGCTCCAGGTTGCTATAATGCACTCCCCAGGCTGGCGCCCAGAGCTCCGGCTCAGGCAACAGGGTGGGAGGCGGTGCCACTGACTAGAGAGACAACAGAGAAGGGCTAGCAGGCCTGTTTGGAGAAAGACAACAAGCTGAAATTTGTATGTGCGGAGTCTGAGATACCTGTGGGACGTCCATGAGGAGGTGTCCAGTAGCAGTTGGAGACGTGGATATGGAAGGTGGGGAGGAAACACTATTTGGCTCTTTCTAGATGGCATCTCTCTTTCCCAGGGAGATGTCCCCATGAAGGAGTGGTCAAGTGGAGGAAGAGGAGCTCACAAAGGAGACAGAAAGGATGTCAGAGGCAGGCAAGACATCTGGAGAACATGATACTCCCCCTTCCCTTTCCTGCCTGGCTGAGGTCAAAGAAGCCAAAGACAATGCATGAAAAGGAGAACAAACACAAAATGCCAGCTATTCTCTAGTGGACGAATACGACAGGAACAGGAGAGGAGGATGGATTTGGCAACAAAAAAGTCACCAGTGACTCTGGAGAGGGTGTGGGTAGAAAACAGTCTGCAGTGAGCTAATAGGTAGAAGTGAAGACAGTGAATGCAGACATCATTTTTCAAGAAATGTGGCTGTGATGAGAGGAAAGAGGCTGGAGAGGGGTTGAGAGAGAGGTAACAGTCTCAGGGAGCAGTTTGCTTCCAAAAAAGAGAGTGATGGGCACAATGAAATGTGGATGGAAACAGCACGGAGGAGAGGCTAAGCTAGACCAGGAGCCTACTGCTGGGCTGAGGGGTCAAGAAAGTACTACACGGGCCTTAGGCAGGAAAAGGGTGACTCTCATGACAAGGAAGAAAGTATGTTTGCAGGTGGGAATGGCAAAACAGTGGGAGAATCCTTGTACAATGGCTTTTTTCCTCATTGAAATCGAAAGTGAGGTTATTTGACAAAAAATAAGGTGTGGGCTGGGAAGGTCTAGTGGTTTGAGAAGACTGGAGGCCTGACAGAAGGACTGTGGGGAATGGACGTGCTAAGGCACAGGAAGCCCAGGGAACCATGAGAGGCCCGCCTGGTGACACGGGAGCTCAGCAAGCAGAAGCCCACATGGCCGCCTGCCACAGATTCACTCACATGCTTTTCTTGAGCTGTAGAAAGGGAGAGCCAGGCTGGAGTGGAACCCAGGGCTGTGGTGTTTGAGTGGGTCTGAAAGAAAGATAGTGGGACAAGGAACTGAGTACTGGTGAGTGAGTGAGAGATGGGTAATTTGCCTGCCCTCCTACCAATACTTACAATGCTTACTCCATTCAAGTGAGTGAGGAACGGATTGGCCTGGGAAGAAGAGAAAGGGGGAGGAGAGTCTTCAGTGGATGTGGAGGAGTGGCCAGGAGGTCACAGATGACAGAGCCAGGGGTACAGTTTTTAAGGAGCAGGGTGAGCGTCTCTCTGCTCCCTTCTCCCACTGCCAGCCCATGACTCTCTCACCTTCGTGTAGACAGAAGACACAAAGACAAGGTGAGAGAGTCACGGCCTGGCAGTGGGAGAAGGGAGCAGAGAGACACTGAGCTCTGTCCATCTCCTGAGGCAGGAGAGAAGGAGCAGCTGGGCTTTCGTGGAGAGCCAGACTATGAAGTCCAGGAGGTGGAGGGAGACAAGGGAGAAGGCTGCTGTCTACAGAGATAATGACCATAATCACTTCATGCATGCCACTGCCACTGCGTGTCTGTCCCTGCCTGCAGCCCCACGACTAAGTCTGGAAAGGGAGGGCTGCCTGGTTCCACCTGGGCCTGCCAGACAGGAGCTGTGCAGTATGGGATGACTGAGCAGAGCCTCCAGATATGTGAAGTGGGATGGGAGTACAGTGGAAGTTACCCAAGGATGGCTATGAAGGAGGAAACAGCTGAACTGAACTTGGAAGGAAAGTTTGTCAGAAGAAAAGGTGAGAGAAGATAGCATTATCAGTAAAAGGGAAGAGACATGTGGGCACACATATTTATGAAAAGCACACCAGACTTGGGAACTGCCGGGTGTGCTCTCTGGGGACCTAACTGGGAAGCACTGCCCTAAGAAGCCAGGAAAGGCCAGAGACTGCTGCAGCCACTGAACCTTTCTGGCTAGGTGATTCTGCATGGGAGAAAGATAGTGCTGACTCCTTTCAGAAGGCAGCGGTGGGACCCCTTGGCTCACTACTTCAGGCGGCAGGAGCAGGATCCTGGTTGTCCTTGGGGCTGAAAAAGGATGGTGAATCACTTCTGCTTTCCAAAGCACTAGGGCTGTTTGACCACCCAGGAACTGGAACTAGCTGGTTGTTACACCCAAATCTCTTCGGATGCTGGGCTCCCAAGCGTGTCACTGTGCAGATGCAGTTGGGAGTAGGCAGGTGAACAGGTAATGAAGCCACAAAGGACAAGCCATCAAGCTCCGGGGCTCATCTGGCAGGAAGGCTGCCCAGGAATAGTTCACCAGGTTCTGTCCTCAGTCCCGAGGACTGGTTCATTCCCCTGGCTTCAATTACATCTCTGCGCTGGTAAAGGCTAGCCCTGCACTTCTCCTCTGAGATGTCTCACGGGAACCTTCAAGTCAACATGCCTCAACTGAATTCACTGTCTTCTGCAAATCCCATCCTGGCTCAGTGAAAGGTACCACCATCTTGCTGGTCACCAAGCAAACACCTGGGAGACATCCCTGCCTCCATCTCCCTCTCCTGCCATCAGATCAAAGGCCCATCACTTCGGCTTTCTCTGAAAATCCCTCTCTTCTTCTCTGGCCCAACCATCAATCATCGCTCCCTTGGCCTGCATTTCCTGCCTGAGGCATCAAACTCGAGGTCTTCCTGCCTGGAACCCTCCAAGCTACCTTCCATTTGACCATGCCATAATCTTAGGATGCAGGTGTGACCAACTGCATTCTCTGATTAAAACCCTCAGTGACTTCTCTCACTGGTAGGATAAAGCCAAAGCTCTTCCGCAGGGCCTCGAGGGCCCTCCCTCAACAACAGTGTCCATCCCGCCTCTCTTCTGCTCAGTTTTGGCTGTCAAGCTGCTGTGGAATGTGCCATGCCTGCTGCCAGGAGGGCCCTCCTGAGGAGTCTGTACTCACAGTCAGCCTCTTGTAAAGCCATTTCCAGGCAGGATGGGGGACTTCCCTCATCCCAGTACTTGTCACATGCTAATATGCTTGTCCAGTTTTGTGTCAGTCTCCCCACTGGGCAGCTTCTCCTGGGTGAGAACTTAACTGTGTCACACTTTGGCTGCCAGTATTTGTAGAAGTGTTTGCTGAATGAATACATGACTGAAGCAAGTCCTCAGCTTGGAGGAATCCAGCAAGCAGCTTCTCAGGCCACGACACGTTTTTTCCTCCAGTTATTTGCCCCCAGGCTCCCTGACCCTGATGCCTCCCCAGCTCATTCGGACCTTCCCAGAACAGTGAGCCAAGCTGAGGCTTTTGGCAGCCAGCATCGTTCACGCCCCAGAAGTCCTGGGGGTTGGGGCGAGGGTCCTCAGGGAGGAGAGATGGCAGAGCTGGGCTCTCCCTACACCCACCTTCTTTTTCAGCTTGTGCCGGGCCCGCTTGGCGGCCCTGGCGCTGTTGGGGACTTTGGGCTCCGTGCTGTTGATGAATTCCAGCAGCTCATCCACATCTCGGTGGTCCACGGCGGGCTCCCCAGGGATCCCGCCCAGGGCGCCCCCCTTCATGGGCAGCTCCTCTTTCCGCCTGGTCAGCCTCGAGCGGAGCTTCTCCCGGATCTCGGTATAGTTCCGACTCGTCGGGGCAGCGGGCGGCTGGTGGGGGGGGAGGTGCTGACATTACACCCTGAGCCTGGGAGGCCCATAGCACTCCCACCCGCTGGCACCAAGTATGTGATGAGAAGCAAGACAACTGTTCTCTCTACCATTAGCCACCAAGGCCACATGGCTTCACCCTGTCAGCCAGGCTGAACCCAGGTGGCAGTGGGTGAAGGGACTAGGAGGGAACAGGGCAGAGCTGGGCAAACACTGACTGGGGAGCCAGGAAAGCAAGTTGGAGCCCGGGCTTCGTCACCGGGAAGCTGTATGACCTTGGGCGAGTCACCAAGTCTTTGTGAGCCTCAATTTTGTCATCTCTAAAATGAGGATAATAACCCCTAGCTCAAAGGTGACTAGCAATTTAATTACTTTCATTTCTTCTATCCTCAACTGCTCTACCCTAACCAGCAGCCCTCTCCTCTTCACCTTATGAGACTTCTGCACTGCTTCCTCCCCCTGGCCAGAGCCAGCATGCCCTCTGATCTGAGCCTCCTTCCTGGCGCCGTCTGTGCTCACGGCCTGTCCCTCGGCTGGCTGTCACACTTGGGGGACTGAGAGCCTTTTTGCTTCCACTCTGCCTTCATCACGCCCAAGCGTTCACTTCTCTGGGATTACACACGTATACATACTCATCAGAATCATAGCTTTCTCTCTGCCATTTCCTTTCCTTTTGCCTAAGGAAAAAAAGTCAATCTTAAGAGAAACCACGAGAAGAGCAAAGGTAGCAAAATGTTTAAAAACCCCGATCTCACGAATGTGCTGTGAGGATCAAGCGAGCGGCCGCAGGTGCAAGGACTCATGGCCCCAGCGCGGTGATCGCCACTGTGAGCAAAGGGGTCTCTCTGGGGAGAGCAGTGTGCTCCTTTTGCTCACCTGGGCTGGCCCCCAGCCCTCTCTGGCCTGGGCAGGCTCACTCACCGCATTGTGGCCGAAGAACTCACAGTAGCAGCAGTCACAGAACTTCCCATCTCTCTGGTGGGTGGAGGACGAGGTGCAGGAGCTTCGCTCAGAGCTGCTATCCTCTTCCTCACCCAGCCCCTCATCTGCCTCGCAGGGCTGGGGCAGCTGGCAAGCCAGGCCACTGTGTGCAAACTTGTGCCCCTTGCACCCGGGATCCCTGATGATGGGGAGGAAGGCCCAGAGGTGAGGGAGGGTGATGCAGGAGCCCAGGAAGCATCCCAACCACCACCTGCCATCCTGACCGTCCTTCACTTGCCCCACTCCACAGAGGTCCCAGGCAGTCCAACTACACTGAACCTCTCACCAGAACAGGGCGAACACCTGCACTGTCCCTCAAGGCCCATCCCAAACACAAATGTGGCTCTTCTGGAAAGGTTTCCCCACACCTCCCCTGCCTGCACCCACCATGCACCCCTTCTCAGGCTGCCGTGCACACCTCACTCTATCCTCTGCTTACTGTGCGTCACGGTCACGGTCTGTCTGTGCATGTGTCTCTTAAACTGGACTGTGCGCCTCAAGGGCAGAGGCTGTATTGCTTCAGTTTTGGGTCCCAGTGTGTAGCATAACAACCCAGCACACAGCAGCTGCTCAGTAAATAGGCCTGAACCCATTGGTGGGCTGAAGGCTCCTCTGGAACACTCAGGGCTATCCATGAGGTCAGTCTCCTTTCACTTTCTAAGGTGCTTCTGAGCAGACTCTGGTGCTCTGGAGCAGTAGGTGGAGCTGCCTTAACCACGGGGCATGGAGTTGAGAACAAGCAGTGACTTCTGGGACACCAACTGTAAGAGCCACTGTTTGTGCCAGGTTCTGGATTCGGCATCTTATTTTTTTCTTTTTTTTTTTTTTGAGATGGAGTCTCGCTCTGCTGCCCAAGGCTAGAATGCAGTGGCACAATCTCGGCTCAGTGCAAGCTCGACCTCCCAGGTTCATGCCATTCTCCTGCCTCAGCCTCCCGAGTAGCTGGGACTACAGGTGCCCACCACCACGCCTGGCTAATTTTTTTGTATTTTAGTAGAGACAGGGTTTCACTGTGTTAGCTAGGATGGTCTCGATCTCCTGACCTCATGGTCCACTTGCCTTGGCCTCCCAAAGTGCTCGGATTACAGGTGTGAGCCACCGTGCCCAGCCTTGGCATATTATGTCTAACCATCCCCCAAGTCCTGCAAAATAAGTGTCATTATCCCCACTTTGCAGTGGTGGAGAGTGAAGCTGAGTACTTGACTGCTTTGCCCAACAGGTGGCCAGGACTCAAGGATGCAAACAGACCGTGACAATAATGCATGATAAACAGGAGGATAAAGTGAGGTGTGCATAGTGCCCTGAGAAGGCGTGCATGGTGGGTGCAGGCAGGGGAGACGTGGGGAACTCAAGCCCACGTTTCTCTCTATGCAAAACTCTACTCTCTCCACTGTACTGTTCTGCCTCTGGATTTCAGGAAGTACTGGGATATCTTGTAATACAGAATATTTTCCCAGGGTAAGAATGAGACATATGCCTGAAACATCCCATAATTTGAGCCAGGAAGAGCTGAAGCCTTAGGCTGGGCCATGAGCAGCTGAAGCACCCATTGGGCTGGTCCCAGTGCTAGGCTGCGGCTGAGGTGGCAAGGGAACCGAGAGCAAGGACGGCGCTCAAGGAGCTGTGTAGAAGCCCAGCTTCCAGGGCAGTCCAAAGCAGCCCTCTCTGCTACTAGAAAGGATGCTAAGCATGTGACATGGATTAAAAAACATGGTGGCAGGAATCACTGTCAGTGGTGGTTACAGAAGTTTATTCTAAATCAACCATTCATTATCTATTGCATTAGCAAAATTGATTTTTTTTTTTTTTTTTTTTCCTGAGACGGAGTCTCACTCTGTTGCCCAGGCTGGACGGAGTGCAGTGGTACAATCTTGGCTCACTGCAACCTCCGCCTCCCGGGTTCATGCGATTCTCCTGCCTCAGCCTCCCAAGTAGCTGGGACTACAGGCACACGCCACCATGCCCGGCTAATTTTTTTTTTTTTTTGTATTTTTAATAAAGACAAGGTTTCACCATGCTGGCCAGGCTGGTCTGGAATTCCTGACCTTGTGATCTGCCCGCCTCAGTCTCCCAAAGTGATGGGATTACAGGTAGGAGTCACTGCGCCTGGCCAGCAAAACTGATTTTATTTTTTATTTTGAGACTGGCTCTCACTTTGTTGCCCAGGCTAGAGTTCAGTGGCACGATGTCAGCTCACTGCAGCCTATATCTCCCAGGCTCAAGCGGTCCTGTCCCACTTCAGCCCCCACAACCTGAGTAGCTGGAACTAGAGGCATGCGTATTATGCCCCACTAGTTTTTAAATTTTTTGTAGAGACAGGGTCTCATTATGTTGCCCTTGCTAGTCTCCAACTCCTGGGCTCAAGCAATCTTTCTGCCTTGGCCTCCCAAACTGCTGGGATTACAGGCATGAGCTGGTGCACCAGGCCACAAAATTGATTTTAGAAAAATTAAAATAGTGTGCCTGCAAATATGGGAAACCAGCACTCATTGGTGGTTACATCAATTTGGAGACCCCTTTGGATAGCAGTTTTTCAGTGTGTATTAAGAACCCTCAAAAAGAACAAAAAACACCTAAACAGCCTTTAACTAGTAACTTTTTTCATTCTGAGAACTTGATTCCAACAAGAAAAATCCAAAAGAGGGAAAAGGCTTTAAGCAAAGACATATTTAGAGACACTGTTGGTAATGTTAAAATGTCGGAATAACCCAAATGCTCAGCAACTGGAGAACAATAACATGAACTGCGGTCAATGTTCTCCAGCCTTTGAAGCTGGGGCTAAGAACACCACACCAGAACACAAGTATGCTGAGGAGGCAACACTAAGTGAAAACCGGCGGGTGGCAGATTGCAGACACTGTCAGTCCGGCATGTGCAAGACACAGGAAGCTTTCCAATAGGAAAACAGAAATGCATGATAAACACAGATCTGATTTCTAACATAAAAATATACCTCTATCTTCTCCAAAGAATTATCTTTCAAATACATGTTAGTATAACCTTTCTCAGTACTTAGAGTTACTTCTAGGAATCTCCCCAAAAGATATGATTTCTCATTCAAACAGATTTAGGTGCAGGGATGCTTACTACAGTCTCACTCATCATGGTTAAACTGGAAATGCCTACATGTCCAGGAACAGGGGAATGATAAAGTATGCCTGAGCTATACAGTAAGACATTATATGGCCATTGAAAAGTTTCTTGAAGAATTTTAACTGGGGAAATGATCATGACATGATGTTAAAAAATTACTACTACACGAAAGGTATATCAAATATCTAATTATGTTATTTATATACAGAAACATGGTGAAAATATACCACAGTGGTAGAAGCTTAGGTTGTGAAGACATTTTTTTCCTTATACATTTCTGAATTGTTCCAAGTTAAAGACAAAACAAAATACAAAACAAAAAAACCCCACGTACTGGTTTTTTTTTTTTTTTTAAACTCTGTCACCCAGGCTGGAGTGCAGTGGCATGATCAATGCTCACAGCAACCCCAAACTCTTGGGTTCAAGCAATCCTCCTGCCTCAGCCTCCTGAGTAGCTAGGACTACAGTTGCATGCCACCACGCCTAGCTAATTTTCAAAATTTTTTATAGAGAAGGGGGTCTTGCCACGTTGCCCAGGCTGGTCTCAAACTCCTAGGCTCAAGTGATCTTCCTGTCTAGGACTCCCAAAGCGCTGGGAGTATAGGTGTGAGCCACTGTGCCAGGCCAAAATACATACTTCTTTACAATTGGAAAAATAATGAAAGGAAAGACATAGTCTACTCTTTAATTTCCACCTCAAAGTTACCCCCAAATTGTCCACAATTCTAAGTTCAAGTGGGTAGAGAGTGTGCCCTTCACGCAGCGCACTTACCTGTGAGCACTAGGGGGTGGCTGAGAGCTCGGGGGTGGGAGGAGAGGCCCGCTGCAGTGCTCACCACAGTGCCCGCTGCAGGGGTGGCTGCACCCCGACAATGGTGGGGGCATCTTCAGGAGTGGCATGCTGGTGGAGGGCAGATGGGAGCTCTGACATGGCCCTGGAGTGTGGGGGGCGGTGGCAGCAGCAACAGGGCACTCTGAAGCCTGGGCAGGGAAAGGTGCTGCCGGGGTGGTGGGCAGCAGGTGTGGGTGGGGTGGGGAGCCAAAGGAGCTGGGGTGAGACGGGATTAGAGATGCTGGCTGGGGGTGGTGGCCGGTGGGGCTGTTAGGGGGAGCAGTGAGGTCTGAGTGCTGGTGGTGCTCCGAGACGGGGAAAGCCTCACCTGTGGGCAGAGGAAGGAGAAAGGGGTCAGAAGAGGAGCCCAGACCTGGGAAGGAAAGCCCACAGGCTCACTGCCACAGCATCCTGCTTCTGTGACCAGAGAGCACAGCCTCTCAGCACAGGGGACCCTGGAGCTGGAGAAGATTCTGTGGGCAGCAACACAGGTGAGCGGGCTCAAGGAGCCCAGGCCCAAGCAAGAAGGTACTAGGAATGCTGATTCCACAGAAGGCCCCATGCCTTTTCTGTAGCATGAGCAGGGGATGTATATTCTGTCTCTCAGGGTCTCTCTAGGATCTGCTTGTACACAGGTGCTCCTCAGGCCTGGAGGATGATCTGCAGAAGCCAGTGGAGCAGCAGGCCCAGGCTCTGCCTCTGTGCCACGTGCAGCAAAGCAAAAGGGCACGCCAGACCCCTGAGGGCCCCAGATTTCATAGAAGTGGGAAAAAGGTTCTGATGACTCTCTAGCTTATGTACAAAAACTAATGGAATTATATACACTCATAATTCTGGGGGCAGCACCACTTTGAAGAACTCAGCTCCTTCATTTAGAAGTACGACAGTAAATCATATTTACATAATAAACCAATAACCCAAGAGTTTTGTCTCTGGGTCTCTGAGAGTTATTTCAGAGTCAAAGAAGACTTACACAGCTGCTAAATTAGCTAATAACCATTACGGCTTATACTGCCAATCTCTTGGGCATTTAAATGCAATGCTTTTTTTTTTTTTTTTTTTTTTTTTTTTTTTGAGACGGAGTCTCGCTCTGTCGCCGGGGCTGGAGTGCAGTGGCCGGATCTCAGCTCACTGCAAGCTCCGCCTCCCAGGTTCACGCCATTCTCCTGCCTCAGCCTCCCGAGCAGCTGGGACTACAGGCGCCCACCTCCTCGCCCGGCTATTTTTTTTTTTGTATTTTGTAGTAGAGACGGGGTTTCACCGTGTTAGCCAGGATGAACTCGATCTCCTGACCTCGTGATCCGCCCGTCTCAGCCTCCCAAAGTGCTGGGATTACAGAAATGCAATGCTTTTATACCCATCCCTTAGGTGGGGAAATCAAGGCCTAGGAAGACACGGTTGCCCAGATCCTCTGTGGTGCTGCAGGGGTCAGGTGATCTAAGTCCTACGACTCCACTTTCTACTCAGACCTCACTGGGTGCCCTCTTGATCCAATGTGAACTACCAGAGCCAATGACAACTTTGAGAGGCAAACGGTTTTCTACTAGCAGTATTTTTCAAGTTCAGAGTTGTGGGGAAAGGAGTTCCAGAGATAGTCAAGGTCTAAGCTGCCCCTGCTTCCCCCAGAACAGTTCCACTTTTACTTATTTTAGTAACCAGTCTTATGATTTGTTTGAACAAAGTGGACAGGAAAGCACAGCTATCCACCTGTATAGGGCCTGGCTCTCTCCCGAGCCTGGAGACTCACCGGGAATGGTAGGAGGACTCCCAAGAGAGCTGCCTGGCATGGCCTCACTGGAATGTGGGGAATTCCAGAGGCCCGAGAGCTTATGGGCCGACAGGAACGAGCTAGGATCCCAGTCTCCTGAGTTCCCAGGGCAGGAAGAAGAGGACGAGGATGAGGATGATGAAGAGGAAGACGAGGACGAATGAGAGTCATCTCCACAAGACTGTGATTTGCAGGATGTGTGTGACAAGGAGATCTGGAGAAGTGGGAGGAAAAAGGCTCATGGTCAAAGAGCAAACATCGGAGCTGACCCGCTGCTGCCTCGGCTTTTGCTGAGGGAGCCCCTTCTCTTCCAGGCCATGTGCCATAGCAAAAACACAATGAATACAACTCCAGCTATAAGAACAAATGAGGGCCAGGCCTCTGCTGGGAAAGGGCTGTGGTGGTCCCACTTACGTGCAATGTGTGGAGACTGGGGAGAGATTCTGGTAGGGGCAGAGACTGCCTGTGAACTGCGGGCCTTTGGGGAGTAGAGAGCTGCCAATGACATGAAGGGCCTTTTGGCCAGGAGTCCTGAAGCTAAACTGATCCTGGGTAAAAGGGAAGATCTGCAGCGACGTGAGAAATAAGGAAAGTCTGGTCATCGTGATTCATGAGACAGCAGACTTAGATGGCTCCCTGGTGTCTGTCCTTCTAACTAGGGCACATTTCAGACCCTCAAACTCATCTCTGTCTTCCATGTCTTACTGGTTGCCTTTCAAGCTGCCACAGAGCCAAAGACAGCAGGCTCGTGATCTACCAGTACTTATGAGTGGGCCCTCATCCTGTGCGCAGACCACCCTGAGGGACTGACCGATGGGCTGCCAGAAGTTTCTCTTCTTCCCCCAAATCTGAACTTGAGCTGCCAATGCTGTGCCAGTGCAGCCCAGAAGTCTCTCAGTGTCTGGGCATGGGAGCTGCCCAAGGAGAGCTACCTGAGGCCAGGGAACAGCCTGACTTCCTTGGGAAGGCAGCCCTCCTGCATTCAGGGACCCCTGTCAGTGGTTACCTACCGCCACTGCATGTTCTCGACCTGTCTGCCTTTCATCTTCCTCCATGCTCTTTCGGCAACTCTGGCAGACCCACAGAGGCATCTCGCCTAGGAGATTCTTGACGAGCTTTGGCATGAAGTCAGGGGGCAGCTTCTCACCCTGCAACACCAGTCCATTTTGAGAAGGGCCTTCTTCCCAGCCTTTGCGTTCCCGGTGACACAGCAGGCAGCAAGTCTGCACAGGCTGGCTGGAGGCGGGGGGGACCTGTCCAACAGACAGAAACAGGGTTTCCCAGGAGGGGAAAGGCTCTCCTTCAAAATAATGGTAACAATGTTAGTAATGCCACTTATTACGTGCCAGGCACTGGGTTAGGCACTTTATAGACATAATTTAAATTTAGTCCTTGTAACAGCTCTGCAAATGAGGTGTTCTTATTCCCATTTTTTAAGATGAAGAAACAGATTTCAAGAAGTTAAATGAGTTGCCCAAGGTTATAAAGTTAGCGAGTGGTTGAACCCTAGTGAGTCTGACTCCAAAGCTCATGCTCAAATGTCCTAATTCTCTGACATCCCCAAAAAAACCTTTAATCTTAAAGGTTAAAGGCCCTTCCTTCTCTGGCATGGCTGGGAGTGCCTACAATTCTTGGGCTGCCTGTGCAGCCCAGGGACCAATGCCCATCTGGAAGGAAATAATGCTTTTAGTCAATGGACAGTTTAGGAGAATGTGTGGGTTTTCTGAAGAATTGCACAATTCCCTTAGGATCGCAGCAACATTTTGGAGGAGGCGTTTGTACAGCTAGTCAGAAAGTATCAACTCAATGGGAAATTGTGTCAGAGGGAAGGTAAGGCTTTGGTTGGTACTCCTGAGAGGTAGTGAGTATGGTGAAAACAATCTGGGCTTTGAAATCAAACAGGCATTCTAATCCCTGCCTGAACACATACTGGCTGGGTGACCTTGAGCAAGTTATTTAACTTCTCTGGGCTCCAATTCCTACCTACCTTGCAGAGTTGTTGTAAGGATCATCACTGCATAGCATGTAAAGTGTCTACCCTGTGTATGCCCATAACATAGGCCCAATACAGTCATTATTTGGACTTTTTTTTTTTTTCCTTCTATGATAAACTTGACTTAGAAATGTAAGTCAGGCCGGGCGTGGTGGCTCATGCCTGTAATTCCAGCACTTTGGGAGGTCCAGGTGGAAGCATCATGAGGTCAGGAGATCGAGACCATCCTGGCTAACACGGTGAAACCCTGTCTCCACTAAAAATACAAAAAATTAGCCGGGCGTGGTGGCAGGTGCCTATAGTCCCAGCTACTCAGGAGGCTGAGGTAGGAGAATGGCGTGAACCCAGGAGGTGGGGCTTGCAGTGAGCCAAGATCACGCAACTGCACTCCAGCCTGGGCAACAGAGCGAGACTCCGTCTCAAAAAAAAAAAAAAGAAAAATAAATATAAGTCTATAGGTTTGCTTTCGCACTGAGGGGTCCTGACTGGGAGACTGATTGCATTTAATGCCTCCAATTAATAGCTTCCTATATCCTGCAACTTTGTATCTGCCCCCATTCTGACACTGGGCTTGGCTATGTCACTTTGGCCAATGGGATGTTAGCAAACAGGCTGCCAGCCATAAACTTGAAAAGTGTGTATGCATTTCCATTTGTTTCCATGCATGGCTGGGCTTGCTCGCTCCTGTACCTCTGCCATGGCCTGAGAGCGAGACGAGGCTAGCTGCTAGAGGGATGTGAGACTTGTGGAGAAAGCGAAGCCTTCCCAGCTGATTGGCCAGCTGATCAGAGAAACATGAGTGAGCCCAGCTGAGAGCAGACTCGTGAGAGAGAGAAAGTGGTATTGTTTTAAACCACTAGGTTTTGGAGGTGGTTTGTTATGCAATGGTAGTTAACGGACATACCTTCCAAACTTACTCAACAGTAGGTAACATGTGTCTGCAGAGGCCTACGGGAATAATAAGGGTATCACCCTCATCCTACCAATAAGATAATGCCATCATTTTTCTCCCATGAAATTACTTTCTCATAATGAGTTAGCACCAGGGTATCCTTAAACCTGTAATGCTACCAGTTACACTGACTTAGGTCCTTGGTTTCTCAAAAAAGAAGAGAACCAAACAATAGTACCAGAAGCATAATGAAACATTTCGGGAAGTACAAGGAACTTAGACATTAATTTTACATGTGGAACTCACAAAAGATACAGCCTAAATCAGTCTCTGCCAAGGGAACATTTCAGTGAGCAAGACAGTTGTTTAATGGCCACTGCAGGAGTGGAAGGTTGATAGAGAAGGATGGTATTCAGAGAAATTAAGGCAAAGAAGAAACTTTCCATAGCTACGAAGTGCCACAGTAACTCTAGATAGAGTCCCTTTTCCTGCCATGATGATGACCACAAGGTGAGCACCAGGACATGTACTTTTACTACAAGTTTCATTTCATTTGCATGCTAGGTTCAAAAGCCAGTACATATAATTAAAATCTTGTATAGTTATTCTTGAAAAAAATTTTTTTCTTTTTTCTTTTGAGATGGAGTCTCGCTCTGTCGCCCAGGCTGGAGTGCAGTGGCACGATCTTGGCTCACTGCAAGCTCCGCCTCTCGGGTTCCCGCCATTCTCCTGCCTCAGCCTCCCAAGTAGCTGGGACTACAGGCGCCCACCACCACGCCCGGCTAATTTTTTGTATTTTTAGTGGAGACGGGGTTTCACTGCGTTAGCCAGGACGGTCTCGATCTCCTGACCTCGTGATCCACCCGCCTCGGCCTCCCGAAGTGCTGGGATTACAGGTGTAAGCCACCACGCCTGGCCTGAAATTCTTTATATGGCATATAAACCACACTATACAGTCATCCCTTAGTACTCATGGGGGATCAGTTCCAAGACACCCCACAGATACCGAAATCTGCAGATGCTCAAATCTCTGACATAAAATGGTGTCATATTTGTATATAACCAATGCACATACTCCCACAATCTCCAGATTACTTATAATATTTAATACAATGTAAATGCTATGTAAATAGTTGCTATACCATATTGTTTAGGGAATAATGACGAGGCAAAAAGTCTACACATGTTCAGTATAGACACAATCATCCTTTTTTTTTCCTTGAATATTTTCTATCTACAATTGGTTGAATCCACAGATGTGGAGGAATGACTGTATATGGTTTTGTAGTTATAACCAATAATTCAAATGTATAATAAAAAGTATGATACATGTGTTTTCTGTTTTTAAAAGCAAATACACAATTCTTATAAATTAAGCGTGTAATTAATGTGACTGCATTTAGTGCCAAAGTACTTGTGGAAGGCACTGGGGTGCAGTGGAAACACTGGCTTTGGCATTAATCCTGACCTCTATCACTTACCAGCTGTATGATGCTGCGCTAGTTCTACTTACCCTCTCTGTTTGCTCATCTGTAAAATGGGATTAAGTTTCAATTTGTAGGGTCAGCTGTGAGAAATAAATGTGATAAAGCACCTAGTCCACTGCTAGGCATATAGATGTTGCTCAACATATGGTATTAATCATTAACACGACAGGAACAATAGGAAACAATAAATGGTCACTGTATTTTACATGAACATGAGTCTCTCATATATGATGTATCTAAGCTGACTTGTTAGAAATCTTAATCTCTCCCCTCAACCCCATGAAGTCATTCCCTAAGTTCCCAAAATAATCTCTGCCTTTTTCTATGTCATGCTTTTGCTAAAGGGGATCCCTTGCTTAAAATCCACTTTCTTCTCATGTTTACCAATGAGTAGCTGAGACGAAAGGCCCAATTTAAGTCCAACCTCCTCCAGGCTTTCTCCTACAGAGTCCCTCTTGTAATTCACTTCTCCTCTCCCATCTCCTCCTAGTACACTGTGCCTTGGTTATAGTAGTTGTGCCTTCTATTTAATTTATTTACCTGTATCTTCTGTCCCTTCTACAAGAGGCAGGTGCCAGGTCTGATTCCTGTCTGGATCCCTCAAGGAGCAGCACAGGGCCTGGCGTGAGGCATGGGCTCAGCTGGGCATGTGGTAGAGAACTCAGATTTGCTAGGTGTCCCCGTGGCAATGCAGCCATCAGGCAGTCCAATGAGACACTGCTTGAAATTACTGCTTCCTACAGAGAAGGGCCCATCTGTCCACCTGACCTCCAGAATGGTTCCAATCTTAACCGCATTAGAGTAAAAGACTGCATTCTTTAGGGATTATGAGATGCCCCCAGTTAACCGAAATAATGTGACTCTCCCTAGAGCCAAAATGGTACACAAAATAAATGAGATTAGCCATCACTGGAAGTGACCTTACAGGACAGGTTGTCTTCCCAGTTAAAGCAAGAAACACAGGGCCTGAAAAGCTAATTAAGCTCTAATTGAAGCTGCCCACAGGACTGAGTGATGATACCAACCATGCTGCATAAAGCTACCCATAGGATTAAGTCACATTAGAGATACAAAGCACTTAGCTCAAGGGATCCAGGCAGTAGGCACTCAATCTATTATCTAAGCCCCTTGGCTGTTCTGTTCTTTTTTTTTTTTTTTTTTTTTTGAGACGGAGTCTTGCTCTGTCTCCCAGGCTGGAGTGTGGTGGCGCGATCTCCACTCACTGCAAGCTCTGCCTCCCGGGTTCACGCCATTCTCCTGCCTCAGCCTCCCGTGTGGCTGGGACTACAGGCGCCCGCCACCGCGCCCGGCTAATTTTTGTATTTTTAGTAGAGACGGGGTTTCACCGTGTTAGTCAGGATGGTCTCGATCTCCTAACCTCGTGACCCGCCCATCTCGGCCTCCCAAAGTGCTGGGATTACAGGCGTGAGCCACCGTGCCCGGCCGGCTGTTCTGTTCTAAGTCTACATTGAAGACTAGTTTATCCACTGTCCTCTCTGAGTTTGGTACACTTGAGTCCTTCTTTCAGGCCCAGGCAGTTTGAGAAGGCCACTCCTAAAGCTGATGTCTTAACTCTAGGCCCTGGTGCCTGCCCCTGGGTATGATGCCTTGTGGAACTGGGAACTTTTTTCTGCTATTTTCATCTCTGCTTTAATTGCTAGAGGGTGATAAGAATCCCAAGCCCTAGAGATGTTATATTCAGTCAGTAATGCCACTGGTTCCTTCAAATTTTTGCTTTGGCAGAGAATAGCTCTTGGTTCAGAGTTCCTTTTGACTGTCATCTGCTGCCATTTTCCAAATTCTGGCATTCATGAACCCTTATGCCCTGAAAAGTCAGTCAACCCAGACTTTCAATCAGCTGCTCCCAAGCTGTATTTTTAGCACCTGGCACAGTATTCCTACACAAAGAACATAATCAGCAAATGTTCATCGAATGAATGAAAACTCCATTTTTCTTCATCACAAAGGTTGATGGAACTGATTCTTGAATCCAGCAGCCCGTTGTTCTTGCTCACCTCAGTTTAAATTTCAGAGACTCTGAGGATGCAGGTCTAGCCTTAGGCAAAAGATGAGGGAAGAAAAATTCTGGGGATTCTACTGATTTTGGATCTCCTCAAAAAAGCTCCAAGATAATTTTTCTTCACTCTAAGCAAAACCAGAATCTCTGGAGAGTGTGAGATTACTCATAGGAGATCCATGCTGTAGCATGCACTGCCCCAGAGCAGTGAAGGGGCCAAGTGAGCTCTAGGTACACTCCAGGGCCTAGGGGGCTGGCATCTGTAGCCATTAAAACCATTATCTCTGCTTCCTTACCAGATCAGGCCCAAGACTTTTTTGCCTTGACCTGAGAAGCATTAACTTAGGGCATTCTAGTTTTTCCTGGATAAAAGAGAGATAAAATCCAAGGAAGAGGAAGCCACTTTTTTTCATGGAACACCATTTTTTTTTTTTTTTTTTTGAGACGGAGTCTCGCTCTGTCGCTCAGGCTGGAGTGCAGTGGCCGGATCTCTGCTCACTGCAAGCTCCGCCTCCCGGGTTCGCGCAATTCTCCTGCCTCAGCCTCCCGAGCAGCTGGGACTACAGGCGCCCGCCACCTCGCCCGGCTTATTTTTTTGTATTTTTAGTAGAGACGGGGTTTCACCGTGTTAGCCAGGATGGTCTCGATCTCCTGACCTCGTGATCCGCCTGTCTCGGCCTCCCAAAGTGCTGGGATTACAGGCTTGAGCCACCGCGCCCAGCCCTGGAACACCATTTTTTAACTGAAAGAATGACTTACTATTTAGACTTGGGAATTGGCAGACATTTTCTCAAAAAGATGAACAATGAATAAAATTAGCCTGTCATTTCAAGGAAAACAACTGACAGTATTTATAGTCAATGATATAAAACGCAAGCTTTCAAGTGAAGATTAGAATTCTGAAACTTTTGTCCACCACCACGAGTTTCACAGCTGCCAAATACTTGAAGACTTTTCTGATGAAATTGGTGATGATATTAACAAATGTTATCTTTTGGTACTGTAAAATGAAATGGAAAACATTTGGAAGATCTGCAAAATCCAGTGAGCCTATTTTCCAAATGACCAAAGCATGATGGATTCAAAGCACTGGTTTGACCAATAGATTTTAGTGTAAATGAGTATGAAGACTTCACTGATAAGGGCTCAAATTTAATACTGGAAATTATCTGGCAAGGTTACTGAAACACTCCTCTCTTTTTCACTTACATATTTGTGTGAGGTTGGATTTTTTTTCATATACTTCAACCAAAACAATGTATTGCAACAGACTGAATACAGAAGCATACATGAGAAGCCAGCTTTAGTCTATTAAGCCAGATGGAAATTAATTTGCAAAAATGAAAAGAAGACCATTCTTCTAATTTTTCTTTTTTTTTTTTAGATGAAATCTCGCTCTGTCACCCAGGCTGGAGTGCAGTGGTATTATCTCAGCTCACTATAACCACCACCTCCCGGGTTCAAGCGATTCTCCTGCCTCGGCCTCCCAAGTGGCTAGGATTACAGGCACCCGCCAATACGCCTGGCTAATTTTTTTTTTTTTTTGAGACAGAGCCTCGCTCTGTCGCCCAGGCTGGAGTGCAGTGGCGCGCGATCTCCGCTCACTGCAAGCTTCGCCTCCTGGGTTCACGCCATTCTCCTGCCTCAGCCTCCCAAGTAGCTGGGACTACAGGTGCCTGCCACTACGCCCGGCTAATTTTTTGTATTTTTTAGTAGAGATGGGGTTTCACTGTGTTAGCCAGGATGGTCTTGATCTCCTGACCTTGTGATCTGCCTGCCTCAGTCTTCCAGAATGCTGGGATTACAGGCGTAAGCCACTGCGCCTGGCCCGCCTGGCTAATTTTTGTATTTTCAGTAGAGACAGTGTTTCACCATGTTGGCCATGCTGGTCTCGAACTGCTGACCTCAAGTGATCCGCCTGCCTTAGCCTCTCAAAGTGCTGGCATTACAGGCATGAGCCACCACGCTTGGCCATTCTCCTAATTTTGTTTTGGAAAATATAGTTTTCATTAAAAATTGTTATGTTAACATGATAGCTTCAATACTGTCTTTCTTAAATGAATTAGTGACAAAATATTTTAAAACTTTCTCAGCTTTAATATTTAATTTGGTAAATATCAATAGATATAAACAACATAAACAAAGGCTCAAAGGCTGGGCACGGTGGCTCAAGCCTGTAATCCCAGCACTTTGGGAGGCCGAGACAGGCGGATCATGAGGTCAGGAGATCGAGACCATCCTGGCTAACACAGTGAAACTCCGTCTCTACTAAAAAAATACAAAAAACTAGCCGGGCATGGTGGCGGGCGCCTGTAGTCCCAGCTACTCGGGAGGCTGAGGCAGGAGAATGGTGTAAACCCAGGAGGCAGAGCTTGCAGTGAGCTGAGATCCAGCCACTGCACTCCAGCCTGGGCAACAGAGTGAGAATCCTCTCAAAAAAAATAAAATAAAATAAAAATAAAAATTAAAAAAAAAAGGCTCTTTGGGTTCCTCAATCATTTTTAGGAATACATAAGGGTCTCCTGAGGTTGGAGGATTGCTCAAGCCCAAGCCCAAGTGACGGACATTGCAGTGAGCCAAGACTGCACCACTGTACTTCAAACTGGGTAACAGTGAGAGCCTGTCTCAAAAAAAAAAAAAAAAGAAAAAAAGCTCTTTGGGGACATGACTCAGTTTTCTAGCTTGGCCTTTCTATCCCCAATTTGGGAATAACCCATTGCCAGACCAGACAGCTGTCAAAGACTACTCTGAAGCTGGACTGAATTTCCAGCACTCAACTTGGCCTCATTCATCCCATGGATTCTTTTTCATCTCCAGGGTTTGTGTATGTTTGTACAGGATTTCCCCAAGACACATGCTGTATCTAACCAGCTGCCCTGCAACAGATCCCAAATTCTATTTTGAAATGGCCCACTGGAGCACTCTACTCTCGAGGCACCCAACTCCAAGAGCCTCTCTGTCACCAAGGCAGGCAGAGGACAATACCAGCAGCTAAAATTCCCTTTCAGAAGCAGAGAAAATGATCACTCCTCAGCCTAGAAAAACTCACTGTCATAGTTAACATCATTCACTCTTCCATTCACCCATTCATTCCCTCATTCAACATTCTCAGAGTCCGTATCTCCTGCCAATTGTGCTAAGTGCTGGGAAACATCTATCCTTGACAATTCCTATTCATTCCCTAAGATTCTGGTCAAAGGTCAATGAAGCTTTTGCTGGTCAAGCTAAGCACAACTGATTCTATTTAATACAGCATCATAAAAATGTGCCATAGATGTATTCTGTCTGTTCCTAAATTCCTGGTAGAATGTAAGCTCTCTGGGGGCAGGGTGTGGACCTTGGTCATTTAAGTATGCCCAGGAACCTAACTTGGTTTGGGCCTGGCACATTGCAGGCATTCACTGAATAAACAAATGAAAGCTTAAAGCCCACCTGGCTCATGTCTCAGCTTTTCAACACAAAGGCAGAATGTAAAACAGAGTCAAACCAGTGCATTTTCCAACATGCTATAAGTCACTCTGAGCCACTGATGAGAGGGCAATCAGTGAGAAGAATCTCAGACCACTCTAATGCTGACAATCAGAGCTGCAGTTAATTCTTAAGAGAGCTGACACAACCCTACCTCAGTGCCCTGGAGCTGTTACCCAAACTTCCATGCAGGCTGTGGGCTCAGGCCCTTCCAGGAGGTAGAACAGCTGTTTCACACTGTAAGACTAGTCAGTGGAGAATCCTTTCTGGTTGTACAAGCTTGGTTGGGAGTGAGTCTCTCTGATCCTAGTGACCTTAACCCTAAAACTTTCTCAGTTTTAATATCCCCACAAGGCTAGCTCATCTGCTGAACTGCCTCCTGGGTGCAATCAGCCACAAGGAGGGCCAAAGCCGCAGATTTACCTGAATCCTCAGGTCAAACTGCTACTCTGCTACTGTAACCCCAGCACACGTTACTCATGGAGGAGGAAGAACATGAACTTTGGGGATGAGACACACAGTTGTGAGTTCAAATCCCAATTGTCGTTTTCAATATGATCTTGGAATATTACTCAATTTCTTTGAGCCTCAATTTCCTCATTTATGAAATGGGAATAAAACCATATTTTACAGAGCTGTGAGGACAGAAGGAAATAAATTATGTAAAGTACCTGGCCTGGGCCTGGCACAAAGTAGGTGCTCAATACCCGTTAGTTTCTTTCCTCTTCTGCCCTGGAAGAAATGACAGGGAAACTTACTAAGTGAGACTTGCCCAAACCAAATTTATTTCTTGAAGCAAAGGACAGAAGGACTAGACAAGTGACTTCAAGGCCTCTTTGAACCCCCAGCTCCTTGTTTTCTGGCTATAACTTCCTAATAAAACCTTCAGTGTTTGCAGTTCCACCAGCCCCTTCTTTCTGCCTTAGTTTCCCTACATCATTTTTCACAGCAGATAGATCTACTTGTAGCTACCACTTGTGCTAAGCATGCTAAGAATGGAGCGGGAAATAATAAAGGGAGCTAACGGCCTTTGGTGGAGAATGAAGGGGAGATGGACGGCAGCATGTTGGCCCACAGGCTGCGCAACCATGCAGCTGCTGTGCTGGGAGCCACCCAGAGTTTGAAGGACGAAGGCAGGCTCACAGGCACAGAATTGAAGGCACAAACACAGGGCCCTTCCCAAGACATAGCATACCTCTCCTCAGTCCTTCTCTGTTTCTGCACATCCTGCCAAGAAGGACCAAATAGATAAAGTAGTCACACCTTCACATATGCTGTTCCTTCTGCCTTTTTCTTCTCTTTTTTTTAAGGCTCGATCTGGGTGTTATATCCTCTTAAGTCCATAGGAAGAATGAACTCGGCTTTGCTCTGGGATACCCTAACACTTTTTTGTTTAAAAACATATCTCTAGAATAGAGCTTATCAAATATATTCTACTGGTTGAAATCTGTCCTTTCCACAATACTGTGAGCTTTTCAAGGGCAGAGCCTGTGTCCCACAAGTCACTGTATTGCAGTCATTCAGCAGAGCCTGTAGCACAGAGTAGGCACAGGTAAGTGTTTGGATACACGATGGAAGATTAGCAGTTGGCAAATATCATTAATAGATCAGAACTGGGGGAAGGTTTTTTGTTCTATTTTAAACTAAGGTTGTTTCTATTCTTGCTTATGGAAAAGCTCCTCCCTGGGAAGCTCATTGTTTGAATACCCTAGGTCTTCTCAAAGATCCCCCTGGCACCCTCAATTCAGCAGCTCCCAGACCCAGCCACATGTCGGAGTCACTTGGAGACAATTCAACAATAGACACCTGGGATCCAGACCTGGAGACTGATTCTGTAAGTCTGGGATAGGGTCCAGCAAAGCACAGGGGATCTGATGATTATTAGGTTGAGGCAAGGGAGAGGTGGAATCAAGCAATCACAGCTGTCTCTCCCACTGAAAATTACTTCTTCACATGCTATCAGAGAATGAATTGAAGCACATGACGTTCTCTTTTCTGCTTAAAACCTTTCATTGATTCCTCACCACCTACAGGATAAAGCCCAAACCTCTTGGTGTGGTTTTCAAGAACCCTGCTAGCCCCTTCAGCCAGATCTCTCCCGACTCTCCAAGTGAGTGGTGCTCGCCCTGGGTCTTTGTACAAGTTCCTTCCTTTGTTTGGACTCTTTTCTCCCACCTTGTTCTCTGGAGAACCTTGAAGACTTAGCTCTGAGAAACATTCTCTGACCCATCTTCCTCTAGGTTACGTCTTGGGCAACCCCGACACCAGCTGCCTCTCGTGTTAAGCACACAGCACTTGTTGGACCCTAACATTAACCTTGTACGACTGGATTGTCTTGTTTTTTCTTTTGAGACGGAGTCTCACTCTGTCGCCCGGGCTGGAGTGCAGTGGCACCATCTTGGCTCAGTGCAAGCTCCACCTCCCAGGTTCACGCTATTCTCCTGCCTCAGCCTCCCAGGTAGCTGGGACTACAAGTGCCCGCCACCACGTCCGGCTAATTCTTTTGTATATTTAGTAGAGACAGGGTTTCACTGTGTTAGCCAGGATGGTCTCCATCTCCTGACCTTGTGATCCGCCCACCTCAGCCTCCCAAAGTGCTGGGATTACAGGCGTGAGCCACCACCCTTGGCCTGGATTGTCATTTTATACATAAGAAAACAAACCAAGAGGCTGAAACACTTCCAAAGGCCACTTAATAGGGTCCAGGATGGCCGGGCACGGTGGCTCACACCTGTAACCTCAGCACTTTGGGAAGCCGAGGCGGATGGATCACAAGGTCAGGAGATCGAGACCACAGTGAAACCCCGTCTCTACTAAAAATACAAAAAATTAGCTGGGAGTGGTGGCGGGCACCTGTAGTTCCAGCTACTCGGGAGGCTGAGGCAGAATGGTGTGAACCCGGGAGGTGGAGCTTGCAGTGAGCCAAGATCGCACCACTGTGCTCCAGCCTGGGCGACAGAGTGAGACTCCATCTCAAAAAAAAAAGTGTCCAGGATTTGAACCTTCATTCAGAAGAAGCCGATGCTATACCTCCTAGCATCACTGCAATTACTATACACACGTTCTCTAGACTATGAGCCCCTTGTGGGAAGGGACTATGTCTGATTCACTTCTGCGTGCGCAGCTAGCCCAGGCCTGGCACAGAGCTGGGATCGGTTAATATTTGCACAATAAATGCCATGTGAGATAAGACTGGGCATCACAGCATGCGAATGGCTGGCCTAAATGAACGAATAACTGCCAACCTGGCCCAGTTTGGGGGCAGATAAGAACGAAGTGGTAGAATCCTCACTTACTAGAATTTAGTTTAACAGCCAGGCATTGAGTATATAAGGACCACAGGACCACACACAGTATATACCCCCCAAATAAATTAAAACATAGACCCTGCTCTAAAAACTTCTAGATGAGGTAAGTAAAGGTGTTAGGATCATCTATCTGATATCAGAAATTAAAATTTAAAACTCAGCTGGGTGCAGTGGCATGCACATGTAGTCCCAGCTATTTGGGAGGCTTAAGGAGAAGTACCACTTGAGTCCAGGAGTTTGAGGATAGCCTGAGCAACATAGCAAGATCCTATCTCTAAATAAAAATAAATAAATAAAATCCTAAGTCGGTAAGTCTTCATTTTCAAAGGTCTTTTGACATTTTTACTGAGTGAGTCTCTACTGGCTTACAAAGAAGAACTAGAGGTGGCAGGGATCCCCTCAGTATCATTTCCTCCTACTGACAATGGAAGTTGTGCAGGCTGGGCAGGCAGTGATTCTAAGGGGGAGGTTCCCAAAGATAGGAACTGTCTTATCCATCTGTGCACCCCAAATAAAGGTCCTGGCACAGAGGTTGTTTTGATATCTACTGAGTGAACTAAACATAATCATCTGCTCCAATTTCTTGAGGGAGCAGTGGGAGAATCGGAACTCTAGAGTCCCTTTAAACTAGACTGGGCAAAGGCCCAGAGGACAATGTGGAGGGGAACAAGAGGTGGACAAGGGTAGGATGAGCTCACCTCTCTTCACCAACTGCTGGTTTACATCCTAGCAAGTCTCCTGGGGGCTTACTGAGTGTACCTGGATTACAAACTGAGTGGTCCAAGAGAGACGAAAGACAGCTAGCAGAGCTAATAGGCCAGAACACTCAGGCTTTGTATGGCCACCTGGCACAGCTCCTGCCACCTCTCTTAGGTGAGGCGCCTCTATGTACTAGCTGCTACATAGGTTGCTTCTCTTGTGAACTATTATTTATTTATTTTTTTTTAAGAAGAAGGAGATGGGGTTTCCCTCTGTGCCCCAGGCTGGGGTGCAGTGGCGTGCACTTGAAGTCCTGGGTAACTTGAACTTCTGGGTTCAAGCAATCCTCCCGCCTCAGCATCCCAGGTAGCTAAGATTATAGGTATGCACCCATGCCCAGCTAAGTTTTGGTTTCATTTTTTTTTGTAGAACCAGAGAGCTCACTATGTCACCAAGGCTGGTCTCAAACTTCTGGCCTCAAGGGATCCTCCTGCCTCAGCCTCCCAAAGTGCTGGGATTACACGCGTGAGCCACCAAGGCCTCTTGTGAAGTTCTTGATGGTGTCAGAGAGAAGCAACTTGCGGAGTCACAAAGCTAGGAAGCTAAGCTGGGAATTCAGTCCAAGTCCCTAAACACTACTCCCCACTGCCTCCCACAATTGCTTTTTCAGTTGTTCCTTGTTTGTTTGTTTTTTCCTTTGCTAATAAGGTAGTAACTGTTTCAGCCTTCTTGTGCTGTAAACAAGGATTTGGGTTGTTAGGAAACAGATCAATGTGGTTTAGTGGCCTGAAACAATTGAGAGTTAAGCCGTTTGGGATCCCAATTAAACTCAAGGTTCTGCTTTAAATGTGTACAGGTTATGCAGATGAGTGAAGGGGCCTGGGAAGAACCAGAAGAGGCCTAAGGAGCACACGTTGTCTAAAAGGGCCAAATGCTACTCAGAGACTACTAATTACTGCCTTGTGGAAAAGTGGACCCAGCATCACCATATCTTTAGTTTAAAAAGAGCCCCAAATCCAAATGTGTGGGAAAACTTTTGATCTTTAAAATATGGTCTCAAATGAAAATACAAACAGAAACAAAACAATGTGTGAGCTGGGGCATTCCAACAAGCCTGTGGACTGGGAGTGGTCTTATTTGCCACCCTGGGATTCAGTTTGGTGTATGACACTGAGTTTCATCTTCCTTATCCACTCTGTATATGTAAGATAGGGCTATGAGTGGCAGTGAGAGCCAGAGAACCTCAACAAAGACATGCTTGCAGGCAGAGCAATGACTGAACCCTACCTTTCTACTAGGTGCTTTGCACCAGGGCACAAAAGCCTGCTTCCAGACCTCACCCCCGGTCAAAGTGGGGCATAATCAGAACTGAATTTACCAGTTTGTTTCCCTTCTTTGGGGCTGTAGTTTAAAAAAAAAAAAAAAAAAAAAAAAAGACTTGTTAAAAATCCCCCAAACTACCTAAGAGTCCTTTTCTTTTCTTTTGTCTGACACCTATAGCTGGAGTCATTTGGGCAAATGTTTAGTTGCTCTGAGTTTCTGTTTCTTCATCTGAAAAATGGGGTAATAATATTTATATCCTCTAGTTTGTTGATCAACATTTGTTAACCACCAGGCACAGGGGTACAATGGTGACTTACATGGCCCCTGAACTCACAGAGTTCACAAATAAAAACAGATAATCAAATCAATGGTCAATTCATCATATGTGTGCTAAATGCTGCGGAGAAATACAGTGGAGGGGGGAAGATTATAAGTAAGGTATGTAAAGTGCCCAGCACAAATAAATGAATCAGTAGGTCAAGCAGTGGAGTAGATAAGAACACGGTAGGAAACTAGATGTCAAAGCAATTGATGAAGCTTAGAGCTCTTGGCAAAGTTATATCCTCAATAAAAACTGAATGGTTGAGCCATCATCCAAGCTTTCTGGCATCTCTATGTGGCAGAGACCCTAAAGTATTCTATGGTCTGCTGAATGAGAAGAAGAGAAGACAGCTTCCCGGCTCTCCCTTCTCCCACTCTCCCTTTTTGGGTAACAGCACTCCCAGGGGGGTCCCAGAGTAGGCTGGTGGAGGAAGCAGCCTCAGGGTTGGCAGCTAGACCCAGTAGGGGTCGGGGGTCCCACCTGGGGAGTCTCCTATGGAAGCAGTGTCAGCCTAGGATAGGAGATGGGGATGGGGATGAAGGTGGAGCTTCTGACATTCAATAAGTGGTGACATTTTCATTAATTAAAAACCTTATTGTGATCTGAGACACAAGGAAATCAGCATGAAAACTGGGTTACAATAAGCACGGGTTTTGGACTGATTCATTTTCTCTCTCATTCACCTAGTTATTTTTACTCTGTGTTAGCAAGGCCCTGGGCCAGGCGTGGAGGATCAGAGATAGATGGCATGGCCTGTGTCCCTGCGGAGTTCACAGTCCAGGGCAGGCAAAAGACATATCAACAGAACGTTTCATCACAGAAAGGGGAGTGCTACCAGAGGGAGGCACAGAGGGCTGTGGGCACAGAGAGGGCACCTGACGCAACTGGGGAGGTCAGGGGAGGCTTTGTAGGAAGGTACCCCAAATGGCAACCCCACTCACATGCACAATTCCAGAGATTCTACTAGAAGGCTGTCAAGAGCCATGCCTTCTGGCTGCACCAGCCTCCCAGAGTCCCCTGCTGCCCGATGCAGTGTCTGCAGAGCCAAACGCATCTTCCGCCACGCCTCATCCTCATCCGGCGCCGCATCCGACCCTCCAAGACTCCTGCAGGAGCCTGCCTTCCTGGGCAGGCTCAGCCAAAAGACCAACTCAAAACTCTTTTGTCAGAGCAAGCTTAGGGAGAGCCACCCAGCCCCGAGTGCCACAACCCTCCCAGAGCAACCGTGGCCCATGTCACCCCCGCCTCTCAGTGAACATTGGCAGGGTACCTCCCATTATCTCCTTTGCTCAAAAGAAAGTGACCTTCTTCCAGGTGGCAAGCTGGAAGCTTTGGGGAATCCTCCTACTGTTCACTCTCAGCAGGAGTCTCCAAACCCGGGATCTCAGGGTCGGGGTGGGCTGCCTTGCGGGGCAGGGGAAGGGAGAAAGGGCAGGTTCTGCTGGGTTTCCACCTCAATGCAGAAACCCCACCAAAAACTCTTCCGGGCAGCCTGGCTGTCTGCTCCGACTGCTCTGCTGGGTATGGCGAGGAGGTGCCAGGAGACACAGCTGCTGAGCGGCCGCGGCTGCAGGCGGTGCAGGGGACGGAGTGGAGCCGTTCCCGAGGGGAGAGGGAAGAGGCTGCGGCCGTCCAGTCCCAGAGCCCCGAGGTGGCCTGTGGCTGAGGGAGCAGGTGGGCCCAGGGGGAGGTGGCGGGCCGAGAGAGGAGCTGCGGCCTCGGGATCACAGCCCAGTCCCAGTGTGGGTGTACGGCCGGACGTTAGTCTCCGCTCCAGGCCGGAGGCGGCGGGGAGAGGGGAGCAGCTTCAGCCTAGTCGCAGGAGCGCGGACCGAGCCTCGGCTTTGGGGACAGGGGTCCAGCCTCCATTCCCGCCCCGGGGGAGAAAGCTTCGGCGCCGGACCCGGGGGAAGGCTGCTGCCCCAGCCGCGGCAGGATGGCCCATCCCCAACCCCGCCCCACTCCCGCTCCCGCTCGTGGGAGGTGAAAGCACCCGGGCCGCCGGAGTCGCCTCGCTCGCTCCTACCTGCGGGCCGGGCACCAGGTTGGGTTCGTCGTCCTCCCTGGAGCCGTCGCGATCGGGCTCCGCCGGCGCCTCCGGGGGGCCTGCACCCGCTCCCGCCTCCAGGCTTGGCGGCGGCGGGGGCTCGGGCGCCTGGGGCTTCTGCGGCCCCGCGGCCTGAGCCCGCTCGCGCCTACCCGCGCCGCCGCTCGGCCTGCTCCGCCTCCGAGTCATGCTGCCGCTCGCGCCGCTCCCTCGCTCCACACGCCGCGCCGCCGCCGCCGCCGCTACCGCTCCCCTCACAGGACAACAGCCAATATGGCGGCGCCCGGCTCCCCCCTCCGCCTGCTGCCAGCAGGTCAGAGGGCACGCGGAGTCCGCGCCGCCGCACTAGCCCCCGAGGCCGCCTGCGCCATTTTGAATAAGGTCATCACCCGGAGTTCCGTGGGAGAAAAGCCTGGTGGGGAGACGCCCTTCCCCCCTACGCGGGACGGGAAGGATGCTACCTGCTGGAGAAACGCGTGTAACGCGGTGGTAATCGCGGTGCAGCACCCTAGCACTTAATAATTGCCTGTTAAATGGATGAGTGAATTAATTTCTATAGTGTTACAATAATACTTTCACACCCGTCGTCTGACTCCTTCCAACAGCACAGCAAGGCAGATACGGATCATTCCCATTTTGCAGGGGAGAAATACTGAGGCAACATAAAGGCTTGCAAAAGGCTGCTGTACATCATTTTGTTGGAACTGCTGGGCTCGTGGACGGCCTGAGTTGAAAGGGACGGTCTTTATTTGCAACATACGGTCTACTGGGAGTCCAGCGTTCTGTGCTTGGGGCATGGGACTCAGATCCGACTCCTTGTTCTAGAGTCTGATGGAGAAGGTAGACACGTCGGTACATAGTTACAACCGGTGTGATAACGATGAGACGACTAGGTGTTTCCAAAAAAATAGTATATGCAGGAGAGGATTTTGGAATCGTACACAAGGGATAATTTTTAAAACTTAATACTTATGTATTTAATTGTTAAAAATGGGATTTCCACCTCTTTTATTTTTGTGAATATACTGTGTAATACATGCACATGGCACAAATTTTAAAAAAAGTTGTGAGTGAAGTCTGTCTCATGCCTAGGCTATGTACTCTGAAACTGTGGTTATATGGAGAGTTGCTATTGATATCAAGAAGGGCAGAATCCTGACATTGGCTTCCTAACCCATGGGGCAAGGGCTATTTTGAAAGGAAGAGCTATATGGAAGGCCCTAGAGCTCTCCTTAACTACCAAGAAAATAAATCAAAAATAGTACCTTATCTTACCCAGGGATTAATACCACTCTCAAAGATTTGAAAGATGTAGGGTGAGTCCCATCACATCACCATTACCTCTTCAGTTTGTCCAGAATAGGAGAGAGAGATGGCCTTGAAGAACAACAGAGCATTATGATAAACTTATTCTGGTAAGAACCCCACCTTCAGGCGCTCTTCCAGATGTGGTCCTTCTTGGGAGAGGTCAGCACATTTGTTGGCCTCTAATAGGCAGCAAGAGGTCTGGTCAATGGTTATTCTTCTGTACCAAACACAAGGATTCCCTTGCATTGATCTGGCAGAGGCAGCAGTAAACCCTCACTGTCTGGCTTCAGGGTATGTCACTCTCTGGACCCAGCCACTTAGTTTACAGGGATTTTTTTTTTTTTTTTTTTTTTTTATGACAGAGCCTCACTCTATCTCCCAGGCTGGAGTGCAGTGGTGCAATCTCAGGTCACTGCAACCTCTGCCTCCTGGGTTCAAGGGATTCTTGTGCCTCAGCCTCGAGAGTAGCTGGGATTTGAGGCGCATGCTACCACGCCCCCTAATTTTTTGTATTTTTAGTAGAGAAAGGGTTTTGCCATGTTGCCCTGGCTGGTCTCGAATTCTTGACCTCGGATGATCCGCCTGCCTCGGCCTCCCAAAGTGCCAGGTTTACAGGTGTGAGCCACTGCACCCTGCCAGTTTACAGGGATTTTTTTTTTTTTTTTTTTTAACTAAATCTCCATTCTAATGGATATCAGGCTAATCTACCAAGGCACTGATGACATTATCTTGATGGACCTTAAGAAAAGGGAATCACAGATATCCTGGATGATTTGGTAAAGCATGATGTGTGTGCCAGAGGATGGATAATAAATCTCACAAATATATAGGGGCCTGTCAGTAAGCCATCTAGGAGTCTGGGATATGTCGAGATATTTCCTATAAAGTGAAGGAAAAGAGTAGATCACACTCCCTGCTAAGGAAGAGATTCAGTACTTGGGCTTGGGCTTCTTTAGACTTGGTGGGTAACATAGATGTATTTAGGTACATTATTTTGACCAGTTACTGGGTCACTTGAAAGCTGCCAACTTTAAGGCAGGATCATACAAAAAGAGAAAGTTTTCCTACTGGACCAGGCTGCAGAGTAAATAGTTCTGGCTTTGGCCTTAATACTTAGACATTGGATTTTGGAGCAAAGTTACGCTTTCTTTCAGTAAATAGTTATACTCCATTTTAGAAATAGCTCCTGGCTTGCTTCAGGGGTCCGGTGAAATTGGATGCCTGATTCTGGCATACCACGTGACTGCGTGACCTGAACTGAGTGTCATCTGATCTACTCAGCCATAAAATCAGGGGTGCTTAGCAACACCCTGTCATGAAGAGGAAGTGACATGTGTGGGTTGGGTCCACGCAAGTCCTAAAGCACAAGTGGGTTGCCAGAGCAAGTTACTTACATTCCTCTGGTGCCACACTCTTCTCCATTCCATCCCTCAACCTGGATCAATGGTTTCATGAACAGTTTAATGATGAGTTGACTAAGGAAGAAAAATCCAAAGCCCAGTTTGCAGATGGCTCTGAGTGGCGTGCTGGCTCCAGCCAGAAGCAAATTGCTAGCGTGTTCTAGCCTTCCTCAGACAGGGCCCAAGGGCATCGAAAAGGGAAATCCATGCAAAGACCTTGAAATAAAGACACATCAATTCCTGGCCATTGGATCATGATTTACTCTGTTGTTGAGGGACTTGGGGGAAAAAAAAGCCTGCAGCCTTAGTGACAGGAAGTTTTGAGGATGACAGATGTGGAAAGATTGCCCAGAATGGCTTAAGAACATAAGGCTATTTGAGTCCCAGATGAACGTTCATCAAAAGAACCTCTTAAAAGCCCAATGGGGCCGGGCGCGGTGGCTCAAGCCTGTAATCCCAGCACTTTGGGAGGCCGAGACGGGTGGATCACGAGATCAGGAGATCGAGACCATCCTGGCTAATACGGTGAAACCCTGTCTCTACTAAAAATACAAAAAACTAGCCAGGTGAGTTGGCGGGCACCTGTAATCCCAGCTACTCGGGAGGCTGAGGCAGGAGAATGACATGAACCTGGGAGGCAGAGCTTGCAGTGAGCTGAGATCCGGCCACTGCACTCCAACCTGGGTGACAGAGCGAGACTCCGTCTCAAAAAAAAAAAAAAAAAAAAAAAGCCCAATGGGCAGTATGGCCGTTTCCGTGGCTGTCAGATTGTCTCTTCCCGACTATTTAAGAACTTATTCAATGGCTCCATGAGAAAACTGGCCCAGCAATTTGGACTGTCTCCTCCCCAAGGCTGGCTGACCTATCTACTCTCAGTGTTGAGTCCAATTTGCAGGAACCAGCCAGAGCCCCTGTGTGGAACCTTACTCTGAGGGGCACACCCAGCTCTCTTCTAGCAGGGTGATTACTTTGGACTATGTATCAGGGCTGGTTAGCTGCTGTAACAAACAAACCTCACATAGCAAGAGTTTTAACACGTTAGATCTTGTCTTATTCATGTCGCAGGCCAATGCCTATTGAAGAGGACTTTGCAGTCACTCAGGGATCCAGTCTCCTTTGATCCTGTGGCTCTGCCTTCACCTGGGCTCTCAAAGTCCTCTTCATTCATCTAGAGGATGGGAAAGGTGATAGAGTGAGGGTTGCCTGGGACATTTCTTTCTTTCTTTCTTCCTTCCTTCTTTCCTTCCTTTCTTCCTTCCCTCCCTCCCTCCCTCCCTCCCTGCTTGCTTGCTTTTCTTTCTTTCTTTCTTTCTTTCTTTCTTTCTTTCTTTCTTTCTTTCTTTCTTTCTTTCTTTCTTCTTTCTTTTCTTTCTTTCTTTCTTTCTTTCTTTCTTTCTTTCTTTCTTTCTTTCTTTCTTCCTTCCTTTCCTTCCTTCCTTCCTTCCTTCCTTCCTTCCTTCTTCTTCTTTCTTTCTTTCTTTCTTTCTTTCTTTCTTTCTTTCTTTCTTTTTTTCCTTCCTTCCTTCCTTCCCTTCCTTCCTTCCTTCCTTTCTTCCTTCCTTCCTTCCTTCCTTTCTTCCTTCCTTTCTTTCCTTTCTTTTCTTTCTTTCTTTTTTTTGAGACGGAGTCTCACTGTGTCGCCCAGGCTGGAGTGCAGTGGCTTGATCTTGGCTCACTGCAAGCTCCGCCTCTTGGGTTCACGCCGTTCTCATGCCTCAGCCTCCCACGCATGGGACATTTCTATGAGCTGTACCCAGAAATGAATATACATCACTTTTACTCACACGCCATCGGGAGAGAATTCCACCGCATGGTTCCCCCAGAGGATAATCCTTCCCTCCTCCTTTTTCCTCTCTCCCCAGGCAGCACTGATCTGCTTTCTGTTTCTGCAGAATATTTTGCATTTTCATACAGTATGTATTCTGCTTTGCCGGGCATCTTTCCTGCAGTATAATTATTTTGATTAACCCACACCGTAGCGTGTTTAGATAGCTCATTCCTTTATACTGCTGAGTAGTATTCCGTTGTACGGAAGTATCACATTTTGTATCCATTCGGTGCTGATGAGCGGTCATGACAAACATTTCTCATGCATTAAATTAGCTTATTATGCTGCTCTGAGAACTGGAAGAAAATATATTTAACGTGCAGTGGCTCATGCCTGTATTGCCAACACTGTGGGAGGACCACTTAAAGCCAGGAGTTTGAGACCAGCCTGGGCAACAAAGCAAGACCCTGTCTCTCCAAAAAAG